AAGGCTAAGAAGATCAAAGAAACTCTTAAAGAGCAATTAGGTGGGGACGCTTCTTTTACCAGCTAGCAAGACTTATTGCAAAGCTGTAACAGTACGACTGTGTAATTTTGGTTCAAGGAAAAAGAAATAGGCTGATGCATGTTTGCTTGAAATTTGACGAGTCATAGTGCAGATAAGTCAGGGAAGGAAGAGCCTTCCAGGAAATAGCACTGGGATAATTTGGTTTTCATGGTGGGGTGGGGGGAGTTGGGAATTATGTTACCATACACAAAAATCAAAATGACAGTAGGTTGCATTCTTGAGTATAAAAGACTTTGTGAAACTGTGGAAGAAAATGTCAGAAACTTTCTTAATGACCCGAGTCTCAGGAAGAATTTTAGAATGTAAAAAGCTGTAATTGAAACCTATATATTTACATTAAAATTATCATCTTGAAATTCATCAAAAAACATCATAAAGTAAAAGATGAGCCTTAAATTTGGAGAAAATATTTGCAACATATTTAACAGAAGATTGATACCAAAATATATGGAGAATTTGCAGAGAAGTGGGAATAAAAAAACACTCAAAATGTTTGGTGGCCAACAAACATACAAATAGGCACAGCCTCATTAAATCAGAGAAATTAGAACCACAATATGATCATAGTGGATGTGAAGTCATTGTTAGTAGGATTGCAAATCATTGCAGGTATAGTCACTCTGGGAAACATGGTGGCACTAACTAGAAAAGATACATATGTGTGTATTCTGTTTCTTACACTTCCGAGAGAAATTTTTGCTTATTTGTATCAGTGCACATGTATAAGAATGCCTGTAACACCATTGTTTCTAATAGCAAATATATGAAAACACATGTTTGTCAACAGAGTAGATAAGTTTTTGGCATATTCCTATGTAGTGAAAATAAGTGAATTAATTTACAACAGCATAAATGAATCTTGGAAAACCAGTGTGTACCAGAAGCAAGGTTTAAAGTAGTGTCACTCCATTTACACAGTGTAAAAATAAGCAAGCTGTTCAGGTACTTTTGTGTTACATGTATAGGTGGTAAAACTTTAAAGAAAAGCCACAGTATGACTCTCATATTAGGATAATATTATTGCTGGTGGTGGGGGAAGAAGGGAAAGGGAGATTCACTTAGGGAGGGGGGCATCTGGAGTTTCAAAGGTATTGTTCCTTTTTTTTTTTTAAGATTTTATTTAAAAAATTTTTTAAGGTTTATTTATTTTTGAGAGAGAGAAGAGAGAGAGCACACAAGTGGGGGAGGGCAGAGAGAGAGATACACAGAATCTAAGCAGGCTCTAGGCTCTGAGCTGTCAGCACAGAGCCCATTGGGGGGCTCAAACCCTCGAATTGTGGGATCATGACCTGAGCTGAAGTCAGACGCTTAACTGACTGAGCCACTCAGGCGCCCCTTAAAGATTTTATTGTTGAGTAATCTCTCCACCCATTGTGGGGCTCAAACGTACAACTCTATCAAGTCTCATGCTCCACTGACTGAACCAGCCAGGCACCCCTCAAAGGTATTGTTTTCTAACCTGGCTGGTAGTGAATACACAGGTGTGTTACCTTTTTTTTTTTTTTTTTTTTGAATGTAGAAGTGTATATGATATAATTTATAGTAAAGTAAATGGGGAATCAGAGAGTCAAAGGGCAATGAATTAGTGATGATGGAATACAGGAATTTTCTCAAACCGAGAATGGTGATTGTGCTAGAGGGGCTATGTGGGAAGATTGTACCAGGTTCTAGGGAAAGATACTTCGAATTCTGATTGGTCTCTGAGCTGTAGTTCCTTATCTGTGTTGACAACTGCACATGATCCCTATCAACAACTATCCCTATTAGGATAAAATACTTGTTTTTGATTTAGTGATAATCATAATGATTTCTTTCCCTTGAAAAATGTTGTATATATGTATCCCTCTTTTTATTATATTACTTAACAGGTGTGTACTATTTGACTTTGGAAAAAATCAAATCATAATTTTTATTACAATTAAAAATAAGAAATTTGAGTATCTCACTTGAGCTATATGTAAAACATTTTTTAAAAAAACCTTTAAAGGTATATTGGATAAAGTTAGACTTAAAACATTTTTTAGAGGCAACTTTTGTTAAACATAATCAAAACCCCATCCTGCAGATATTTCTGGTTATTTCATCCACTGACCAAAAAGCATACACTTGAGATTTGATTCATTCATTAAGCTCTAGTCTTTATTAATTTCTTCTTATTGGAATTTCATATTTCTTTGTTCCTATTAGATGAGTAAACTGGACCCTGGTAGAGATAAGTGAACAGTTTCTCCTTTCTCAACATTTCTGTCTTCTTAAACCTCTAGAGCTTAGTCTCAACTGGTGAATTAGCTGCTTTTGACTCTCATTTACTTGTGGCCTAAAGCTTTCTGCATTTGTAAGTGAACTTCTGGAGGTACAGCTATTGAGGACTGCTGATAATGGGTTTTCAAAAGAGAATCTTGATTTTCTTTATCCTCTTTCTGTAGTCTGTCTGATTTCTGTAGTCTGTCTTTGGAAATTAAGGTCCCTGTGAGATTGTGTGACCTGTAGTTCTTTAGGTCCTATAGTCTGCTCTTCGTTCCCAAGGTAAGTTGGAATATTGTAGTAGATGCCTAACAGGAATGTGGTATTGGTCTTGCTTTTGCAACATGATACACTTTTCCTCATTCTCATTATTGTGGTACTTCTGTTGGTAATTGCATGGAGACCCCCTGTCTCTACTCTTCAACAATCTCAGCTACAGCCTCTTCATTTCCTGCTGAAAGTTAGTATTTGTGGTATTTAAATATATCTTCTTTGTTGTAGTAACCTTGTTCGTACTCATGGGTATTACTGTTTTGAGGCTGGGTTTCACTACTTTGAGACCTAGTAGCTGCTGGCTCTCAGACTCACTAATTATGTTGTGGAGATGGTGATGAATGTGGGGCTTGATGCAGCAGTGGGGATTCCTCCTAGATTATAATGGAGACCATCAGGGCAGCTCATGGCTCTCTGGGGTTCACTCTTCACTTCCACTACCACTTAAGCTCAGTTTCTCTTTTTCTTTTTTAAGTTTGTTTATTTATTTATTTTGAGAAAGAGAGGTCAAGTGGGGTGGGGCAGACAGAGGGGGGAGAGAATCCCAAAGCAGTGCAGAGCCTTATGTGGGGCTTGAACTCATGAACTGTGAGATCATGACCTGAGCTGAAATGAAGAGTTGGACGCTTAACCCACTGAGCCACCCAGGCACTCCTCTCTCTTTTTCATAACCTGTAGCAGCTTTGTAGATGTACTGCTTGGGTCTCTCTTTAACAAACTACTTACTGTTCCTTCAGCTCCAGGGAGTACATGTAGCTGACAGCCTCTAGCTGTTAATTTAGGCTCCTAAGATTTTGAGTTGAGGCCTTGTGTTTCCTAGGAAACCTCCTGCTACTGACTGAGCATGGTGCGGGTTCTAGGGTGTTTCCATTTTGTCCCAGTGTTGGACTGTTCTAGTGGGCAGTCTTTGCTTTGGAGTACTTTACTGGGTTGTCCAGAACATTGTCAGATCTTTGTCAGGGTCTGAGGCTCTGTCTGCTGAATCCTGTTTTATATCCCCTTTCCTTCACTGATTTTAGATCCATTTGAGTCTGAAAGTTTTCCATCCTCAGTCCTGTTTTACTCCCCCCCGCCCAGCTTTTATCTTTCATAATAAAATTCTTGTCCTTGAACATCTGCTTCCTGGAGGACCCGACTGACACATACCACTTCTGTTGGTTGTTTACCTAATTTCTGTCCAATCACATTGGTAGTGAATGTTGTCTCATTTTCTTCTTTTTAAGCCTCTCCCTTGAATCTTCTCAGTATTTTCCAGTTCATCATTTCTGTCTACCCTTAATACCCGATTGTCTAATGTCCACTAATCTTAGTAAATGCCTTATTTTTACAATAACATTGTTTCATATACTGTGTATCTGGTTTTTTTTTTAAGATTTTTAAAGAGGTATAAAGTGTATTAAGGTAAATTATAAATGCCCCCAAGGATTTCATTCAGGAAATACATATGAAACCTATTAAATAATATAAAAATGCACATCTGTAACATAGTTTCTGTCCTTCCTTGAAGAATAATCAAATGGGTGGGTAAGATGAAGACAAATAAGTAAGAAGTACACACGCACACACACACACACGCATCTAAAACCTTGATCTGCTTCTAGGAATTTGTCCCAAAGAAATAATCTGACAAGTGTAAAATAATACACGTGCAGTAGTATTCATTGCACTGTTTTTAATAGCAAAAAATTGCATACAACCTAAGTACCATGAATAGATATTAAATAAGTTGTAATAAACATAATGGAATATTCTGTAATAATTAAAAATAATTACTTAGTTCTGTGGTTATTAACAAGTAAGATCCACAGTCTGCTAAGAGAGGGAAAACAAGTTTAATACGTTACATAGGACACCCTGTCTCTACAAATGGTAAGTAGTAGAACTGTCAGAGAAAGTAAGGTATAGAATGGATTTAGATAGGCAGCATGAAGAAAGAGAACATTTTAGATTACAGTTTCCAACCTTTTTGGACGTAGAGTCCTTTTCTCAATATTTTAAAAACAATGTCACTTTGTCCAGTATATGATAGTGATTTTTACATACAAAGTGTTTTATATTAGTATAGTATTAAAAAGTGCTCTCTGAATTTTTTTTGTTTTAGAGTTAGTATCATCGCATAGTAAAGAAATTTTTTAATGATTAGAAGTATATAAAATTTCAGGCATTCTCTGCCACTGTGTAACCATTTTTTCATGTATGTTGAAAACAAATTTTCAGTCTAAACCAATTTCTCGAGTTTCTGGTCTTAACAGCATATCTATGATCCCATAGACAAAGTTTATTCACAAATCCTGAGAGTCTGGAAATCCCTTGTAAGAAAAGTAGTGTCGTTTTCTTACCATAATTTATTACCGTAATTTATGACATCTTAAAAATGTATGTTTTATTCCCACTTAGGCCGAATACATCAAGCAATGGTAACATCTTTAAATGAAGATAATGAAAGTGTAACTGTTGAATGGATAGAAAATGGAGATACAAAAGGCAAAGAGGTATGATCACTGGGTTAATTTTTTATTTATTTTTTTTGAGAGAGTAGGAGCAGGGGAGAGGGGCAGAGGCAGAGGGGAGTGGAGGGAGGGAGGGAGGGGGAGAGAGAGAGTGAGAGAGGGAAGAAGGGAGGGAGGGAGGGAGGCCTAAGCAGGCTCCATGCTCAGTGTGGAGCCCAATGCCGGACTTTAATCCCACAATCCTGGGATCCTGACCTGAGCTGAAATTAAGAGACGCTCAACTGACTGAGCCACCCAGACACCCCTAAATTTTTTTTGATTGTAGTTTTAAATAATCTCTACACCCAACATGTGGCTCGAGCCTACAACCCCAAGATCATGAGTTGCATACTTTACTGACTGAGCCAGCCAAGTGCCCCAATCACTGGTTTAAATTTTATTTCTAGTCCCACAATCAAGGTTCCAAATATAAAACAAAACAGAGGCTCCTGGGTGGCTCAGTTGGTTAAGTGTCCACCTTCGGCTCAGGTCACTATCGCATGGTTCATGGGTTTGAGTCCCATGTCGGGCTCTGTGCTGACAGCTCGGAGCCTGGAGCCTGCTTTGGATTCTGTGTCTTCTTCTCTGTCTGCCCCTCCCCTGCTCATGTTCCGTCTCATAAATAAAACATTAAAAAGTTTAAGACAGAGAGTATATAATTTTTTACATAGTGCATGTATTCTTTATCATTGTTTGAAAAACTTAAAAATGATGAAAAAATTTCACTCAAAGATTGGTAGGTACCTCTTCAATATGGTAAGTGATGGGACATATAATCAAGACCACAAAATGCTGTCTTTTAAAACAAATTTAATGTTTATTTATTTTTGAGAGAGAGCAAGCACAAGCAGGGGAGGGGCAGAGAGAGAGAGAGGGAGACACAGAATCGAAGCAGGCTCCAGGCTCTGAGCTGTCAGCACAGAGCCCGACGTGGGGCTCGAACTCACGAACCTCGAGATCATGACTTGAGCTGAAGTCGGACTCTTAACCAGCTGAGCCACCCAGGTGCCCACAAAATGCTGTTTGAATACAGATTCTTTAAATATATGTGGGTTGTAATTGTAGATAATATAGTTTTCAAGGCAGTACTATTCATGAGGCCAAAATCATTTAACAATTATTCTCTCTGTGTAAATTCGTAAAATAGTGTCAAAATTTACTCTCAAAATATATGCATTTTTTAAAACAGATTGATCTCGAGAGCATCTTTTCACTTAACCCTGACCTTGTACCTGATGAAGAAATTGAACCCAGTCCAGAAACACCTCCACCTCCAGCATCCTCAGCCAAAGTAAACAAAATTGTAAAGGTTAGTGATGAAAATTCAGAGCACGGGTGGGTGGGTGTGTGGGCTGAGGGTCTGGTTTGAAATGACAGTCTGTGAAGAGTATGTTTTAAGCATTAGTTTGCTTTAAAAAAACAAACTGTAATATTTCTGCCATCTTCATGTCATGTATATGCTTACATCCTTTGAAGGATCGAGGTTGTCCAGTTGACAGTTAATGATCATCATTAGGTAAAATCCTAGGAATTCCTTTCCTGATTAGGATTTTTCCTAAGACTAGTAGCTTCTCAGGAGATATGGATGTCAAAACCATTTGCTGTCCATATTTGTTGAATGATACATATGACTTAGGTAAAGAAGGAATGTTGATTTTTCATAATAAATTCCCACTCCACTAGTCTTTTGAAGTAGTGATTCTGCTACTTATGTTCATTAGAGAAGGATGGGAAATGATAGAATGTAGTTTAACTACTGTGTTATCTGTAAAGATGAACTTTAAAACCATGCCGTATATCCTCCCTAAGAGTTTTATCTTTACAAAAATAAAAGCCATGTCGTTTTTATTATTTTAAAAGGTAATGCTCGTCCTTCCTATTGAAATTGCTCACTATTAAAATTGTATATCAAAATGCAACTCTTTTTTTTTTTTTTTTTTCAACGTATATTTATTTTTGGGACAGAGAGAGACAGAGCATGAACAGGGGAGGGGCAGAGAGAGAGGGAGACACAGAATCGGAAACAGGCTCCAGGCTCTGAGCCATCAGCCCAGAGCCCGACGCGGGGCTCGAACTCACGGACCGCGAGATCGTGACCTGGCTGAAGTCGGACGCTTAACCGACTGCGCCACCCAGGCGCCCCAAAATGCAACTCTTTTTAAACCAGGTCACTCACACCGTTGTTTAATCTGTAGTTCTTCATCTTGAGGCTTCAAAAAGTATTTGTTGATTTTGTCATGTACAGGTATAACATTAACCCTATAGGAATTTGGTTATCTTGAAAGGAAGATATACAAAAGCATCCAAATACAGTGTGACGGGAGCTTAACATTATCAACAAAACATTCTACTTTTTAAGTTCTGCATATGAACATAAGGCAGATTTTCAGTTCATGTAATTTAACTAGGATATTGAGTGTCACTGCTTAGAGGTCTTTAGTTATGACTTGTAGATGGACTGTTTTTCATATTTGACTTCACAGCCTTGAAGGATCTTCATCGTTGATCCTTCTTAGTATGTCATTAGCAGCCTTTGCTGTGCATTAAAATCACTTGGAGAATTTTTTTAAAATACTGATGCTTAGCCCACTTTCAGCGATTCATTTTATCTAAAGTGAGGCCCTAGAATCAATATCCTTTTATTAGTACCCATCTGATATAAATTTGCAAATGTTCTCTCTAGCTTTGAGAACCACGACATTTTTTGATATCTTTCTTTTCAGGTGACTAAAATGAAGTCTTGGTAAATAAATAATAGGATCAAAAATTTGCTGCTCTAGTGTATGCAGTGTTGGGAGTCTTTGAGAGTCCAGTGAAATCTTTTATTTTTCAAATTCTTTTTTTTTCACAGTGAAATCTTTTAGTAGAAATGAGAGAAAAAAAGAAATGACAGTGAGCATTTCTTGGTATTTTGATGTTTAACAGTAGATTGTAAGTTGTCTAAAACTGGTATTTTATTGATTACTTCCACGTCCAAAGATGAAATGTAATACATGCTTTTGAAATGTATTACATGGTTGTAGCATGATGACTACAACTATACCTTTTACTGAAATTGCTTAACTTCACTTTGCTTCAGTTTTCTCATGAAACCAGAATAATAGTAACTACCTCATAGGGTTGTTGTGAAGGTTGAATGAATTAATATTAACAGTGTCCGTCTCATACTAATTCCTGAATATTGCTTTTTGTGGGGAGGTGGTGGCCAATACTCATATGAAGAAACTTGAATATTGCTAGCACTAGTGTAGTAATTTATTAGCAGATTATTTATAGTTTTTTCCATTTAGTTTTATAATATATTTAAAAAAAATTTTTTTTAATGTTTTTATTTTATTTTTGAGAGAGACAGAGTGCGAGACAAAGCGAGAGAGAGAGGAGACACAGAATCCAAAGCAGGCTCCTGGCTCTGAGCTGTCAGCACAGAGCCTGACATGGGGCTTGAACTCACGAGCCGTGAGATCATGACCTGAGCAGAAGTCGGACGCTTAACTAACTGAGCCACCCAGGCGCCCCTAGTTTTATATTTTGTATTCACCTACTTTCATTTAATTAAAGAAAGCTGAAATTATGATAAATATCTGAGGAGTAAAGAGAGAAAGTAAACGAACATTTTTTTGTTGTATAGAATCGACGGACTGTGGCTTCTATTAAGAATGACCCTCCTCCAAGAGATAACAGAGGTAAAGTAAACATTTCTCTATAATTTTTCCTATTAACTTTTTAGTATGACCCTGACAAAGTAAATCAAAAGTTAATATCACCCTTGACGTTATTATTCATTTAAACTTTACCTGGCTAATTTGAAGGTTGGCTATCAGAAATTCCCTAATATAATAATGTCAATAATATGAAAAACGATTTATAAAGGTACATGATGAATGTGAAACTCCATAATCTGTGCACTTTTTGATTCATCTCTTTACCTAGTAACTTTTCAGATTTGAGAAGAGTTATCATGAGAAAGAAAGGAATGGGGAAGTAGTCAGTTAATTGATTTCACAAGACTAAATCTAATCTTCACATTTTAATGTGACTTTTTGGCTAACAGTCTTCCAAAAAGAGTCATGGGTAACTTGGGAGTCAGTTAAAGAAAAGTTGAATAGGTACAATTTGTAGTTAATTGCAGGTATTCCATATATTTTCAGCCCAGAAATGTAAAACACAGTTAATTTCTTTTCTTTTCAGCAATTCAGAATTGTCATTTCTAGCAGTGATAATTTCTCTGTATGTGAAGGAGAGGCATAGGTATTAGAAGAGAGATTGGAGGTAGAGGCAAAGTCCTACACTTTAAACCTATCCTTCCTTTGAGTCTTGTGAAAATTTATATTGGCTATGTGAAATGTGATATGCATATTTTACTTTATATTTATTTTTTCACTTTGGTAACATAATCATTGGGAAATTCTTTGCTGAAGATTTGCATATTTGAGGAGCAGAGAGTGGGATTTGGAATTACAGGCAGGGTTGAAGGGCTTTTTTTAAAACTTTATGTACAGACTTGGGTAAATTTTTCAAAATGACAGTGCATTTAAATTTAAAATTTATATTTGCTACACTTACATTATTTAAATGATTATTAAGAGTTAGGCTTGGCTTTAGTTTTTATATAAATTATTCAGAATGAGTTGTTTCTTTTTTTAAAATATATTTATTTATTTTGAGAGAGAGAATGGGGAGTGCAGGTGGAGGAGAGGCAGAGAGAAAGGGAGAAAATCCCAAGCAGGCTCCACACTGTCAGCACAGAGACTGACGCAGGGCTCTAGCTCACGAACGGTGAAATCATGACCTGAGCCAAAGTCGGACACTTAACGAACTGAGCCACCCAGGCGCCCCTCAGATTGAGTTTTGTAGCTTGAATTACATTGGTGGGACCGAAGTCCACACACATTCCTGTGAAAAACCTCTTGGCTTGTTAGATTATTGAACAGAATTGATTGTTCCATACTTTATTTATACCCACGTAAGTAGAAAATCTGAGAGTTGACTAATGTACCTCTTAAGTATCTGTTCTTTTGAGGTCTCTCTGTTCCTTTTACTAGGGTTCATCTTTACTAATTTTCTGTTCTGAATTTAAAAATTGTTTCATTTACAGTGGTTGGTTCTGCACGTGCACGGCCTAGTCAGCTTCCTGAGCAGTCTTCCTCCGCACAACAGAATGGTAGTGTTTCAGATATATCTCCAGTTCAAGCTGCAAAAAAGGAATTTGGACCCCCTTGTATGTAAATCATGTACCAAGGATTCAGTTATTTTAGGCATACATGTATTCTCTCTTGGTCATCTTTAAAGTCTCCAAATGGTAAAGTTTAACTACAAACGATTGCAGATTTCATTTTACCACTGTGGAAAAATTTTTTTCCTGTTAGTTTAGTCTGTTAATTGGGTGTTTAAATGTATATTTTGGAGAATTTCTAAATGTAAAATTATACCAATATCTCAGTTGCTTTGAATTTAAAATTCTGGTCAGATGATAATTCGACAGATGTTATGGAAGAAATTCTTATGCTTCTCGATCTTTTCAATTCAAACATCTGTGATTGTAAACCAAGAGATGACATGTATCAATATGTTAAAGTCATTTTTCTTGACCATTTGTATATTGTCCTGTTCCTGGTTTCGTTAAAGCAGCTCATAGTAAAGTTCACGTAGTTGTTATAGGCATGCTTTGTCAGTGTGTACCTTTTTTTTTGGTGTTATGTGGTGAGATTGATTATATGTAAAATTTTTGCATGTAAGTTCAGTACTATAAAAAGAAAGCTCTGCTTCTACAGCTCATCTTTTTTCTTTCAGCACGTAGAAAATCTAATTGTGTGAAAGAAGTAGAAAAATTACAAGAAAAACGAGAAAAAAGGAGACTACAACAGCAAGAACTTAGAGAAAAAAGAGCCCAGGTTTGTAACAGAATCATATTTTGTTTATGCATGAACTGAAGATTTAGACTGTGTTAGTGAACGTGAGATGCTTGTGAAAAAGTAGTGGAGGCGTTCATTTAAAGTTTTCAGTATATTAATTGATTGTTAAACTGATGAGAAATAATATAAATTCTTATGAAAATATGTTACAGCATTTTTGCTACATGTACTTTTCACGTTTTGTTCCATTTTGAATAATAATTCATTGTGTTACTGAATTCAAATGCAGCCATTATACCTTTCAAGAATAGTATATTTTGGTTTTCTAAAATGATCTAAAAATACATGCAGAAGAATATCTAATTAAAGTAGATGATTATAAAGTAGACAGTTTTACTACAAAATTTTATTATTTTTCCAGGTTGAATTCAGCATATTACAGGGAAAGCAGAAATTCCTTGTATTTTGATTTATACTAGATATTAAAAGCCTATCTCTTGTGTCTCTCACATTCCCTTTGGATGGTAACAAAACTGTTTACTAACAAAGGAAAAATTACATAGAAGACTGGTCTTTTATCTCTCTGCAGGTGTTCATCTGCTGCAAATTCCGTTACTATACCCATAACTCTTTTATTGTGCTTATATTATAACTGTATTCTTAGAACTTGTTTCCTCTAATAAAATACCAGGATTGGTGCGCCTGGGTAGCTCAGTTGGTTAAGAATCCGACTTCCCCCTCAGGTCATGATCTCACCATCCATGAGTTCAAGCCCTGCTTCAGGCTCTGTGCTGACAACTCTGAGCCTGGAGACTGCTTCTGATTCTGTGTCTCCTTCTCTCTCTCCCCCTCCCCTGCTTACGCTCTGTCTTTTCTGTCTTTCTGTCTCTCTCCAAAATAAAGAAACATTAAAATATTAAAAAAAAAAAAAAAAAAAAAAAAAAAAAAAAAAAAAAAAAAAAAAAAAACGAGCATCAGGATTGTTTCTTTATTCAGGAGTATATTCAAATGCCCTTAAATTATAAAGATGTTGTGTTGTGGGATTATAAAACCAGTATAAAATTCAGCATTTTTAATAAATCAGGTTCTAACTTAAAGTGATCTGAGAATGATCATTTGGTTTTGAAATAAATAAAACAATGCAGATGGATCTACTGATACTTAGCACAGATGCCACCTAGTGTTTCCTGTGGGAACCTCATAATATTTTCACATTGTGATTTCTTAATTTTCACTTTACATTCAGTTTTTCAGTTGACATAGTTATCATTTCCTAAAAGAAAGTTAATTGAAAGTAATTTTCATTAACAGTTTTGAAATTTATATTCAAAGCAAATCTGTACCTGGTGCATGATAAAAATCTGACTTTTTAGAATGTTTAGTAGCTTATTGACTGCAGTCAACACATTCAGTAATTTAAATTTTAAAAGTTGAAAAAATTTTGTGTTTTGATTCCTTTAAGTTCTGAGGTGGTTTTTACCACCTTTAGGGTTTCTTTCTTTTTTTTTTTTGTTGAGAGTCAACAAGAACAGAAAATGGGCATAAATGAATCCGTATTTCTACTTTATTGAAACACTGGATTCAGTATTGGGAAGAAAAAGGTGATTAAATGAATATTTCTAGAATTTCAGGTTTTTAGAAATTTAGAGTTTTTTAGACTTCTTTATTGATGTTTAAGATGAGCACTATTTCTCTTTTGTTTAATTTTCTGGGATGAGTAAGTTATATATAACATGATTTTGAGAGTTCATAGTGGCTTTAATGCGGAGTGTTTGGTTTAGAGTTAACACAATGCATTAGACTATCAGAATTGTGTATGTAATAAGAAGGTGATTCTTGGGCATGTTATTAATCCTAAACTCTGAAACTAAATTATATCATGCCTTTAGTTTGAGTTTCAGCTTGGCTATAACAAATGACACAATCTGCTAATTTAATTTTAATTTGCAAACCGTATTTAACATAAATGCAACAATATAATTAATGTAATTATAATAAATGATGAATTCTCTTGTTACAGGATGTTGATGCTACAAACCCAAATTATGAAATTATGTGTATGATCAGAGATTTTAGAGGAAGTTTGGATTATAGACCATTAACAACAGCAGATCCTGTAAGATTCGTTATAAACTATTGCTATGGAATTTTTTATGCTGTAAAAGAAAAAAAAATTTGATAACCACTTAATTAATATTGGATTTAGCTATGTAGTTTTTTCTCTCTTTATGGGTGCACATTCCCCATATTTTAAGGAGAAAATCAAGAAATCATCCACATTTGTGCTTATCTCTTATAATTTGGTTTATCAGACAGGCTTCCCATAGAGATGTCCTTTTCAGAGCAAATCCTCTCTATCTTTGGCAGGGCAGAATAACAGTTAAAGGAATGATGCCAGAAGACCCATTCTCCTTTCTGACTGTCACTTAAACTTCTTTCCCGGTTCCAAGCTTATTTCCTCTTGGGCTATAGATCCCGCTGTCCTATCAGTTTGCTATTAGTTAATTTGTTATTTTTAAATAAATGTTAGTCTGGCTTTTAACAGTAAATATGGTTGTTTAGAACTGTACCAGTCCAGAAACCTAGCACTTGAAATAAATTCTCATTGTCTTACTACTCAACTACTTTCCTGTTGAAGAATGAGAATTTTTTGGACAGGGAATAGTTTGTGAGTCATTAATACTTAGGAGATAATCCATCTGACCTGGCCTGTACAGAATACTTTGGGTACGTAAAATACATTTTTGTCAGGCTGATGTATTCATAGAGTTGTTATTCATAATACTTTTGTCCCATATATTTTAGTCCTTGCTACCCCTTTAACCTACTACATCTGAAACTCCTACTTTGGGGCAGGGATTGGCAAACTTTTCCTTCAAAGACCCTGATAGTAAAGAATTTGGCTTTGTGAACCAAATGGTCTTTGTCACAACTACTCAGTTTTACCTTTGTAGTACAAAAGGAGCCATAGACAATACCTAAACATATAACTGTCTCATTAAAACTTATAAAAGCCGGTAGTGGCCTGGATTAGCCCTGCAGGCCATACTTTGCTAATCCCCGTGTTACAGATTTAATTATTATTAACAGGCAAGTACTGGGAGCATAAATTTTATGAAAAATATGTGTAAGAATCGACCTATTATAAAATTGTTGAAGTTATTTTGCTCACTAATATTCTGAGAATTGTGTCTATAGTTAGTTATTTTTGTCAACAACTTTCCTTTTAATCAACACGAAAATACATCACTTGGTGGGAAATTGTGCCTTTGTTATATGTAGCATATTTTGTAGTGAGTAAGGCAGCTTCTTAACGTGAGCCTAATGCTACAAAGTGTCCTCTACAAGGTTGTTTACTGTTTACCAAATAAAAAAATAAGCAACTTTCCATTATGCTCAGAATTTTAGAGATCATTGTCTCTTAACTATTAAAATTTGTACTTGCCATTTTGTGTTTTAAACTTATTTATCCTATTTATGCTATGCATCAATTTCTGGAGCCTCTGTAGGAAATAGTGCATAACTGACTTTTTTAGTGTTTTATAACACTGATGAACATTGAAACAAAATATTTTATTTCTAGATTGATGAACATAGAATATGTGTTTGTGTAAGAAAACGACCACTCAATAAAAAAGGTATGATGCTTTTTGAACTCTTAATAAGAGGTTGATTTTGCCCAATTTGTAATTTATTTTGATGATAGCAGAAATTAAATTGGTTCAGAAGAGTTTAATATAAGTCATTTTAAATCATTACGCAGATTTCTATGGTTAGATCTCTTGATTTGTTACTGCTCTATGAATCATTGCCATTTCTGGTTTTGGCTTCACAGAAATTTAGATTATTTTTACTTGGTTGTTGAAATACTATATCTTACTGAATGGCGTATTTCTGAAATTTTTGTATTTATAGAACTTAATACTTCAATTACATTTCTTTTTGCTTACATTTGTACATCCTAATGCTGTGAAAATTACTGGGCATTCATTTTCATTTATTCTTTTAGAAACTCAAATGAAAGATCTTGATGTAATCACAATCCCCAGTAAAGATGTTGTGATGGTACATGAACCAAAACAAAAAGTAGATTTAACAAGGTACCTAGAAAACCAAACATTTCGTTTTGATTATGCCTTTGATGACTCAGCTCCTAATGAAATGGTTTACAGGTAGGTAAATTTGTTTTAAATAAGAGTTTTGTTCTTACACTGTGTATCTGTCACCACCCTGAAACTTAATTGATCTTGGCATATCTCTCAAAAAATATAGTATGCTTTTTTTTAATTCTGAGTTTAAACAAGGTTACATAATAATAATAATGAAGGGCACCTGGGTGACTTAGCTGGTTAAGGCTCTGACTTGCTTTTGGCTCAGGTCAAGATCTCAGGGTTCCAGGGGTGTCTTGGTGGCTCATTTGCTTAAGCATCCGACTTTGGCTCAGGTCATGATCTCATGGTTTGTGAGTTCAAGCCCTGTGTTGGGCTCTCTGCTGGTTCAGAGCATGGAGCCTGCTTTGGATTCTCTGTCTCCCTCTCTCTCTTCCCCTCCCTCGCTTGCCCTCTGTCTCTCTCTCTCTCAAAAATAAATAAACATTAGAAAAAAAAATCTCATGGTTCATGAGTTCAAGCCCCACATCAGGCTCTGCTGTCAGCGCTGTCTCCCTCTCTGTACCCCTCCCCCGTGTGTGTGCTCGCATATGCGCACTCTCTCTCTCAAAATGAATAAACTTAAAAGAAAAACAATGATGAATATATTAACACTTGTTCTTTGTAATGCTCACCTGAAATCATGGTTTTTATTATTGGCTAGATACATTTCCTTCCACACACACACACACACACACACACACACACACACGTTCACATATTCATCTTACAAACAACTCAAACTTGGAAGTATTATACATTGATATCCCAAATTATTAGGCCAAATTTAGATTTTCATATATAGTTTGTAAACACTGCCTTCTAAGAGCAGTGTTCTTTTAAGAGCAGTGTTCTTTCAGTGTATATAGAACTGTCTTGGCAGTTACTTGAATATTTTTTAGTTTATTTATTTATTTTGAGAGCGAGAGAGCATGAGCAGGGGAGGGGAGCAGGGGAGGTCACTTTTAAGAGCAGTGTTCTTTCAGTGTATATAGAATTGTCTTGGCAGTTACTTGAATATTTTTTAGTTTATTTATTTTGAGAGCGAGAGAGCATGAGCAGGGGAGGGGCAGAGAGAGAGAGAGAGTGTGAGAGAGAATATCCTAAAGAGGCTCCCTGCTGTCAGCACAGAGCCTGAGACCCATGAACCTTGAGATTCATGAACTGAGCCCAAACCAGGAGTCAGACGCTTAACCGACTGGGTGACCCAGGCGCCCCTTGAATGCTTTTTCATTGTCCTTTCATTTTATAAATACGGCTGGAAAACAAAATTTAAGAATTAAGAGTCCTAAGAATTGAACACTTATAAATGAAATATTATTGAAACCAACTTTATTGGTCCTAAGCCAGTAAACTAGAAGTTCAGTTGCAAAGAGGAGGAAATTAAAGAACCTGTGAACGCTAAATAGTATTATGAAAAATTTGTTTTATAAGGGAGTTATAAGTATAAATTACCTATTTTTTACCTTACTGAGAATAGTCCTCTCCTCACCCCTCACTTCTTTCTCTACTTCCACTCCTGTTTCATAAAATGTCTGTTTGACCTTGTAATTATAAGATATTTTTCTCTGAATATTCTAGGTTTAGTAACCATTCCTTTTTACCTTATATTTGTGCTTCTTAAATTTACCAATATTGATGCTATCCCCTTTCTTTAACTTTGAGGGAGTGCAAGTTAGGCCTTTTTTTTTTGGTCTAATCACTCTGCAGACCCATTTTCTACTTTAGTTTGACCTTTTTATCTTACTCCCTTTTATTCTATACCTTTTTCAGTTTTGTCTTAAAAATAATTGTAATTGAGCAACTGTATAAAGTGTGCCACATACATTATTTTGAAACCTAAACAATGATTACAATAATATATTTGAAAAATAACTCAAACCATAATAATTTTGGCATACTTCTCCCGAACTAAGACTATCAACTCCAAACTCAGTGTCTTACAAATATAATTTATATTTACTTAGCCATATTCAAGGAAATCCTGTCACTTTCTGCTTGGGTAGATGGTCTTAAGATAGTTTTGTAGTTTTTTTTCCCTTTTAGTTTTTCTCTGTTGAGATTATCACTCTCTTGATGTGGTTTCTTTTATTTTATTTATTTATTTATTTTTTTAATTTTTTTTTTCCAACGTTTATTTATTTTTGGGACAGAGAGAGACAGAGCATGAACGGGGGAGGGGCAGAGAGAGAGGGAGACACAGAATCGGAAACAGGCTCCAGGCTCCGAGCCATCAGGCCAGAGCCCGACGCGGGGCTCGAACTCGCGGACCGCGAGATCGTGACCTGGCTGAAGTCGGACGCTTAACCGACTGCGCCACCCAGGCGCCCCAATGTGGTTTCTTTTAAAATGTTTTTGCTTTTCTTTGTATAAATGTTACTTGTCTGCCTAATATTTTGATATTTTGTTTATTTTTTAAAACTTTCATATTGTCATATATATATATATATAATATATATATTATACATATATATGTATATATGCCCAAGCTTAGCTACTGTCATTTTTTTTCTATCCATTATTGTGACCATTGTTTATTATGGAATTGCTTGAAATTATGCTTTAAAGAGCTTTAAGCAATATTAAGAGGAATTTATTTAAAATTTTTAACATATCAGTGGGCTTAGTTGTAGTCTGACATTTGAGCACATTGATTTATTAAAATGATTTTGTTTATTAATAAGACTTGATATTTTATTTATTTAATTTAAATATTGACAGCACATTCTGACTAGTGTATTTTATTTCTAAGGTTTACAGCTAGACCACTAGTTGAAACTATATTCGAAAGGGGAATGGCTACATGCTTTGCTTATGGGCAGACTGGAAGTGGAAAAACTCATGTAAGTAATTCATTATAGTTCCATCCTGGTATGAAGCTTGTTTATTTTCCTTATAGCTTAATTCTAAGACCTATATTTTTTTAAGATTTATTTCTGGAAAATGTCTACTATTTTTTATTTCCTTTTTAACATATAGACTATGGGAGGTGACTTTTCAGGAAAGAACCAAGATTGTTCTAAAGGAATTTATGCGTTAGCAGGTAACTCTTTTTTTGCATATCATTTGTAATATTCTTGAATATTATTCAAATGGCTTTGAAATAAAACATGGAAATAATGTTCAGGACTTGAAGGATAACCATAAAGCTAAACTTACCGTATATTATGTCAGTTTTAGGTTGTCAAACTGCTTGAAAAGAATTGTGAGATTAAGTGTTTGGGACAGAAATCTTGATATTTGTGTCATTTTAATCTGGCATGTTGTTAGAGCTTAGTATTTGTTGTTAGATAGCTGATTTGTGAAAAGCTGTTTGGTGTGGTTGTGGAAATAATCTTACTATGACCACCTATAATTTTATGTTATTGATAAAGATAAATAGTAGCATTCTTTTACTGAACATGAAAGAGAATGGCATCTAGACCCTAAATGTCAAAAAACTATTACTATTTTTTTGTAAAATAATGTTCACTTTAGTCTTTATTGTTATTATTGATCTTGTCATTCTAGGTAAAAATTAACTGATTTTCTTTAAGTACAGAAAATTTGAATTGCTTTTCAAAGATAGTATTTGTAACATCTTAACAATTTTCTCCATGTGAAATTCTTGATAGCTCGAGATGTCTTTTTAATGTTAAAGAAGCCAAACTATAAGAAATTAGAACTTCAAGTATATGCAACCTTTTTTGAAATTTACAGTGGAAAGGTAAGTGGAAACTTAAAAAGACTCTGATTTGGAGGGGGTGGGGGAGGAGTGTTAAATTGTGGTTTAACATGCATAACATAAGATTTAACATTTTAACTATTTTTTGTGTGTACAGGTTCAGTGGCCTTAAGTACATTCATGTTGTGCAACCCTTGCCACCCCATTTTTATTTTTTTTTCAACGTTTTTTTTTGTTTTTTTGTTTTTTTGTTTTTTTTTTTGGGGACAGAGAGAGACAGAGCATGAACGGGGGAGGGGCAGAGAGAGAGGGAGACACAGAATCGGAAACAGGCTCCAGGCTCTGAGCCATCAGCCCAGAGCCCGACGTGGGGCTCGAACTCACGGACCGCGAGATCGTGACCTGGCTGAAGTCGGACGCTTAACCGACTGCGCCACCCAGGCGCCCCGCCACCCCATTTTTATATATGTTAGAATATTATGTTAACATTTTTTGAGGTTTTTAAAAATTCCCTTTGAAATGCTCAACTTTTCAGTATTGAGAATTATTCTAATTACTATAATTTTCTGAAATCTTTTGGACTCTGATTTTTATAGAATTGATTCTTTTTTTCTTCGAGGCTAGTTTTCTGATTTGGATTTTTTTGAAATAGGTGTTTGACTTGCTAAACAGGAAAACAAAATTAAGAGTGCTGGAAGATGGAAAACAGCAGGTTCAAGTGGTGGGATTACAGGAAAGGGAAGTCAAATGTGTTGAAGATGTACTGAAACTCATTGACATAGGCAATAGTTGCAGGTAACTCATTTTAATTAAGGGCAACTTAATCTCTTAATCAGTTTTAGTTACTTGGGGTTTCTAAACAAAGCAAAGGTGTTATTCATTGCCTCTTGGCAGTAAAAATTTGTTCATAAAAACTTTTACTGTTACTTGTAACTGAGTGACATCTACTATATTGGTAATCATACTACAAGTATACTAGAAGTGTGCCAGATTAAATTGTATGAATCCAGTTGTATCGAAGTGTTGTAACTCAGATTGTCTTCATTTGTATTTAAATGATGAGAACTGGATAGTTTTTTCTTGCTTTTTAGTGAAAATACTCTGGTTTGAAACATAAACTAAAAGGGTTTTTGTATGTAAAATATCCTTAATCACATTGTAGGACATCCGGTCAAACATCTGCAAATGCACATTCATCTCGGAGCCATGCAGTGTTTCAGATCATTCTTAGAAGGAAAGGAAAACTACATGGCAAATTTTCTCTCATTGACTTGGCTGGAAATGAACGAGGAGCTGATACTTCCAGTGCAGACAGGCAAACCAGGCTTGAAGGTGCTGAAATTAATAAAAGCCTTTTAGCACTCAAGGTAAATAAAATGCATTTAATTGTGAAAAGTCTTTTGCTTTTGACTTTAATTTTGTTTAGAGTATCTAGAAAATGATAGCACTTGTAACATCTAATAAATAAGAGAAGTTATCAAAATTTACTTATGTTTACAGTTCTAGATTTACATTGTGCTCAGAAATTTTCTTTACACATACTCTTTTTTTTTAGAGTGAATAGAGGACCAATTTTGAGCCTACTTAGGGAGGTTCCATAGGGCTTTAGTCAGTCATACTGTCTTAGAAGAAGACAAGGAACCGCAAAACTCAGCTAAGAAATAATGTCTCAGGAAAATGTGGAATGACTTTCGGGGGGGGGGGGGGGGGGGGAGTGTTACATCTGTTCCTTGACTACAAAAGGAAGGATTGAAAATACTACAAAAACATTATGTTTTTTCTTTTGTAGTGCCACTTTCAAAGTTTAGCTTTTTATCCTATTGTCTATTACTTCTAAATAGTAGTCATAGTCTCCAGAAGAATCTTTTGGAATGATAAGTACTTTATTGTTGTTGTTGTTTAATTTTATTTTCTTGATTTAAGATTTATGGGACCATCTTTACTGTGCTGTAAACCTGTTAGTAGGGTTTCCAGAGCTAATCAGATCTTAAATGTTAGGGTTATAGTAAAAGATCTTTTAAATATATTAGTTAAGATTACTCTTTATAAGAAGCCTAACCTGTGAAACTTGCTTTCTTAATTGGCAGGAGTGCATCAGAGCCTTAGGTAGAAATAAACCTCATACTCCTTTCAGAGCAAGTAAACTCACTCAGGTGTTAAGAGATTCATTCATAGGTGAAAATTCTCGTACCTGCATGGTAAGTTTATGTTTGTTTTTGTTTGTTTTGTTTTAATTCTGAATAATGAATAACTCACACTATCTGTGGAAAGATTATAATGCACATTAATAACAAACATTTAAATCCTTCTATTGTGAGAGATACAGTGATACTTAAGATGTGGTCCCTGCCAGTCTGATAGAGAGGATTATATTGCAGTTATAATGCATTCCACTAATTCCAACATCTGAGTCTTCTTGAGGTTGGTCTTCGTTGATTTTTATTTTCCTTGAGTATGAGTCACACTTTTCTGTTTCTTAGTATGTCTGCTAATTTTGGGTTCTATCATTTTCACTATGAATAAATACCTTAATGAACACTCTGGATATTCATATCTTCTAAAGATTATTGAGTTTTTTGTTGTTTTAGCCAGAAGTGAACTTACTTGAACTTCAAATTCTTGTCTCCCCTGCCGGGGGCATCAAATGAAATAGAAACCTGTTTAGTTCTTTTAGACTTAGCTATGTTGCTTAGTGGAAGCCTTGTGTATGCCTGCGTCACGGGTCAGCCAGAGATGTGGGGCAGTTTATATGTAGAGTTTCTGGTTGTCAAGATTACCTCCCTGCATGGTTATCTCCCTATTCTGGGACAAATCTCACTTTCTAGCTGCTATAGTTCTACCTCCAAACTCTGTCTTTTAATTTAACCTGTGAAATTTCAAGTTTCTAATGCAGTTGTAGTTACCCTGTGTGGGAGCAGCAGGGCTTGCCCTTGGGCGGAAAAGCTGATGTGTGGAGGTGGGGAGGGAGGATGGGAACACTCAGTGCTATTCCTTTCTAGGTGTTGACCTCTATTTTCTGCCTGATTTAAATTATTTTTCTAGTACTTTCAGAGAGTTGTTTGTATTTTATATGGTTTATAATTATCATCTGATTATGGGTGTGATATAGCAAATTATTTTGGAGTTTAGATATCATAAGTGTTTTCTTTGTTTAGTAACTATTTTAAGATTAGATCTTAATAAGCTATATGTTGATATTATTGTCTTCATCATTTATAAAATTTTCTTTACCTTTGCATTTTTCTCCCATAGATTGCCACAATCTCTCCAGGAATGGCATCTTGTGAAAATACTCTTAATACATTAAGATATGCAAATAGGTATGAAAAATAGTTATTCAGTTTCAAATTTGAGGGGAGTAGAGCAGTATTTAGTTTGACTTAATATCTGATGGGATAAATTGTATTACATTTTTCTCTCAGTTTTTAAAAATTTTTTGCATGTACATTAAGATGGTATATAGAGTCCTTTGGTCAAATTCTGAAAGTAAATGGAAATGTGTAATTTGGAAAGAGATTTGGATCTTTAGTACAATTGGTCTTTCTTTCAAGAACATGATTACATTTTTCTGTTTCACCAAGTTATATTTCATATTATTTTACAACATCTAAATCACGCAAATTTTTCGTATTAAGTGAGTCTGAGGGGACTGGTCTGGTCTGTGTTTCTGAAATTGTTTTTTCTGTATGCTAAAAATTATTTCTGACAATATTAAGTGTTTTACATGGTGGAATCTAGAGGTTGAGTAAGTAATGATAGCACATTTCTTTCTGATGTTCTATATGAGTTACATTTTATTATTCATGTAATTAGTATTACATACTTTAATGGGCAATGGCATTATTACAAATGAAAGGACAGAAAGCATTATAGACTTTAATTAATTTATTCTTTATAGTCATGAAATGCCCTTGGAACTTTGGGTTATGATGGGCATATTTATATTTGTTTCATAAATTCCTCCCATTGCTCTTGTTTTGAAAAAAATGACTATGTATATAGTTTTAAATTTCTATTATCACATATTGCATTTGTGATTTTAATTTTTAGAGATCAGATTCCTTTTAGTATTCCATTTCTACTGTGGACATTCTTTGAATTTTGCTGAACCACAAGTATTTGTCCCCGTTTCTTTATTTTAATTGCTATGGAAATTTTGTTTTTAATCTTTTTTAAAAATGGGAAATATGTACACAGAAAAGGGCCAAAAACATAAGTGAATAATCTAATATTTATAAAATGAAAATTCTTATCATCAGGTTGAAATAGAATGTTTCTACCTCTCTAGAAAGTTCCTCATATGTTCCCTCCTGATTACAAATCCTGAATAACATGTCCAAATCCATTAACCTCTATCCCCAGATAGACATTGCCTTGATTTCTGTGGCCTATTTTCTGGTTTTTCTTTCTTTTTAAAAATTGTTTAACTGCCTATGACTGTATCCGTGAAAATATACATAGGTAGCTATCCAAATTTGAACATCACATAAATGGAATCATACCCTTTGTTCTTTTGTAACTTGTTTTGTTCTTTTTCTTTGTTCTTTTCTTGTTCTTTTGTTCTTTGTTCTTTTGTAACTTGTAACTCTTTTGTTTCAACTGAAGAGATTTTTCAAAATGATGGTAAAAACTGTTGGAAAATATAAGCCTGTTGACATTTTATAAAAAGATAGTAAGATAAAATAACTTCTTTTAAAAATATAATGGATTATTATTCCTGAATGTAAGCCCTTAAAAACTTTAAATTATGGGCTCTGAACTGCAAACATTTATAGTCCTTTTAATTGATTTTTATAATGAACACTTGTAGTATGTAGGGTTTTAATCATTAATTTTAAATGCTTCTTATTTCAAAAGTGTTCATGGGAGAGATGAGAAACAGCTTAGTATAGCAGAATATTACCATGTTGTAGGATTAAAACAAACAAAAATCTCCATGTCTTCAGACTTCAAACTGCACAGGACTCTCCCTAAGGTGAAAATGTTATATCTGGCCATGTCTCTAGTTCATTTAGGTCCTAGTAAATGTTTTAATTTGTTATCCTGTAGTGTAATTTATCTGCAACGTGACTAACCACCTGGGACAAATAATTCTGTCTTTTCTTTCTAAATCTCTAGGAATAAAGACTTTTCAACCTCCCTTGATAGCTCATTTGAGGAATATGATTCCTGCATAGAATATTTCCTGTTTGAGTTGGGCAAGAGGTCTTGGAGTAGAGGAAAATATTAGGCCATTAGGGTAATCTAAATTAGGACATTCTGAAAGAATCCTAAATGAAAGAATCCTAAATGGAATTGGGAGCAAAAAGAGTTACGTCACAGTTAGAAATTTAGTCAGTCTTTGTTGTAAATAAATTTTCCAAAGTGACCATAAAGGATGAAGGGCAGCAGAATCCCATATTGAACCTTTGACAGCAGACATTACCAATAGGTTAAAGGAAGATTGTAAGTAGAAGAAATAGTTAGTTTCATCTACATGATATTATTAGTTTGATCTGTGTGACTGTTTATGACAGTTATGATATGATTTAGATGAAACCTAAAAGAAATAATGAGAAAAACAGATGGTTAGTATATTGGATTTTTAAATAACATAATGTTTGTACTCAGAGCTAGGTTTGAACCTCACTTATGCCACAGTCTCATTGAATAACCTTGGGTAAGATACTTTATTTATGAACCAATGTCTCATCTCTGAAATGGCAAAAATAGTATTGCAAGATTGTTGTAAGAATTAAATAATAAAGTGACTAAAATTTACTAATTGTAGTATCTAACATGTACGAAGTACTTAATAAATATTGCTTACTGTTATGAAATGGGATTGGCCTGAAGGGGACATAGGGAATAACAAATATGGGGTCAGAAAAGCTGTAATTTGGTTAAATATAACCATTAGAAACATTAACAAAAGCAATTTAAATTCCATTGCTAAATAGCCTTTTTTTTTTTTTTTTAAGTTTTTTTAAGTTTATTTGAGAGAGAGAGAGAGAGAGAGAAAGGGAGAGTGTGTATGTGATCAGGGAAGGGGCAGGGAGAGGGAGAAAGAATCCCAAGCAGGCTCCACACCATCAGTGCAGAGCCTTACATTGGGCTTGATCTCACGAACTGTGAGATCATGGCCTGAGCTGAAATCGAGTGGGGCACTCAACTACTTAAGCCACCCGGGCGCTTCTAAATAGGCTTTTTCTTAACCAGGGTTCTTCATCTGAACCAAACACAGAAGATTATTTGAGTGACTGCTCTCTCGGTTTGTACCAAGGATGGGTTATAGCTAATACCATTCTAAATGCATAAGAAAGAAGTTAATTCATTACAAACAGTGGATGCCATTAGGACTTAATCCTCTTGTGTTCTGTTTTAAAAGACTGCAAGAGTATTGAGGGCTCGTTAATGCTGATATAATATTTGTGGTATTGACTGCACAAGGAAATTTGATTAAGTAGTCAATAGGACAGAGAGACTCAAAACCTTAAAATTGATTATTTTTTCATTATTCTAGGTGCAATAAGTCAAAACAATGTTGATCTCTTTTTCTAAATGAATTAAACTGAATACTGAATGAAAACTTGAAATGTGCATTGCTGTCTGTATAAGAGCATTTTCTTTTAATTTGTTGCTGTTTTGGTGCTGCAGAGTAAAGGAGTTTGGAATTAGTCCATCAGACATTCCCTTCTCACAGGGTAGTGGCAGTCGCCCCGATCTCTCTCCTTCTTATGAGTATGACGACTTTTCTCCTTCGATTACCAGGTCTACTTCCCTTCTATGCATAAGATATTTATTATAATAGTTTCTTTTGAATTGCATTACATATAAATATTTCATTTATACTTCTTTTGTTCTGAGCCATTTTATTTTTCATTTTCATTTCATTTGGCAGGTGATGGTTGTACTGCATGATCTTCATTTTTGTGTACTTTATTAATTTATTTGCTTTAAAGTATTGATGTAGAATTCAGGCTTCCTATTTCCCCTCATATTTTTAAGGATGATGTCATCTTTGCATATTTACAGTTGAGAGATAAACTGTCTCATTTAAAGTGAGAAGTTTACCTTTATTTCCTATGTACTTATAAATTTCCTTGACTCCAAGGAAATAACAAGGATCCTCTTGCTTTAGAACATGTACCCTCCCACTGTGTAAATTGAAGTATAATCGGTAAACATTTTTTTTAAATGATAGAAGTTTAGAAATATGATTATTTCACATGTAGCTCTTTTAATAGAGCATTATAACAACTAAAAAGTATGCAAAGTGTATTCTCTGATTTTGGCAGTAATCCATTTATTAAAAGTGCATTTTTCTGTTTATATAATTCAATTGCAAAAAGTTTCTTTTTACTTTGAAATACTGAATTTACTTACTTAGCTAATTATCATTTATTACGTACAATAATTATATTTGAAATAATTGTAAAGTTACCGCAGTAAATTCTGAAAGTTAAATAGCCAAACATCCCTTTGGTCTTCCTGCAGATTTCAGGTAAACTTGATCTGGAAAGCTGACATCATCAGTCTTAACATGTTTAATTGAATTCCCTTTTTATTGAATAGGTTGGCATTTTCTTGTTCCTCTGCGTGTGTCTTTGTTAATTTTAGGTACCTCTTATGTGTTTATAGGGTGAAAGAATTGACTGTGGATCCAACTGCTGCTGGTGATGTCCGTCCAGTAATGCACCATCCACCCAATCAGATTGATGACTTAGAGGCACAGTGGGGTGTAGGGAGTTCCCCTCAGAGAGATGATCTAAAACTTCTTTGTGAGCAAAATGTGAGTGACAATATAGTTATAACTATCTGTTTTTAGTTCGTTTCATCAGTAGCAGAACTTAATAATTGAAAACTACTGTCTAAGTCAGGGGTCAGCAGACTGACAGCCTCTGGGTCAGGCATCTGTTTTTTACAAATAAAGTTTTACTTAATTGTGGCCATTGCTTATTCATTTACAAGTTGACTGGCTGCTTTCTTAGCACAAAAGCAGTGACAAAGACTATAACACTCAAAGGCCCAAAATAGCTACTGTCTGGCCCTTGAAAAAGTTTACAGACTCCTGGGGTGCCTGGGTGGCTAGTCAGTAAGCTACTGACTCTTGACTGACTCTTGATTTCTGCTCATGTCATGGGTTTCATGAAGGGTTTGAGCCCTGCATTGGGCTCTGCCCTGGCAGCTTGGAGCCTGCTTGGGATCCTCTCTCTCCCTCTCTCTCTGCCTCTCTTCTCACACTGTCTCTGTCTCTCTCAAAATAAATAAGCTTAAAACAAAGTTTGCTGACCGCTGATCTAAACTGTTATTTTTTTTTCAGATTTTATATCATTATTAAAATTCGGGGATTTTAAAACTAACACAGGGAAAAAAGCAAATTTAAGAATTATGCATACAATATATTATACATACAGCTTAAAAACAAAATTAACTCGGACACATGCATGTATATTAAAAGGATACCATGGGCTGTATCAGAAGTCAAACATGGAAAAATGCTAATAACATTTGTTAAATATGGTTGTATTCTATATGTTTGAAATGTCTAGTGACATTTCATAATTTAACATATGATTCCCAATTACTCAAAAAATTATATCCCCCATTTTATAAGGACTACGAGGTATATTAAAAAGTAACAAAAAAGCACAACACACAGTTTCACATAATTACTTTAACATATTGAGGGGATTCCTTTATGTGAGATGTGAAAGTTTATATAATTAACTTCTAAAGAATTTTAATTATTTAAATATTTTAAAATTGCATTTTAAATAATTTTTTAAAACTTCATTTTTAAAAATTATATAGTTTTATACCCTTTTTTTCTCAGTAAGAATCTTATAGTAATATTTTGTCATGATAAAAAGTGGCATTTACTAATTTCTTACTACATGACTTACATTTGGTAAGCATTTTATTTATCATCTGATGTAATCCTTAGAATTTGATGTGATAGGTACCATAATTATTTGCTTTTTAACTGATTTTCTAAAAGGTGAAGGAAGTCAACTAAGATCGTACATATAGTAAGTGCTAAAGCCACAACTGAAATCTCCATATTTCTTATGTGAGAGCCACATCTTAGGTCCACTAAATGTATTGCTAGCCGCAATAATAAAATACTCTTTGGAAATTATATAACTTTAAGTTAATGTTTTTATACTTTTTAACTCAAGTCCACAATATTCTAGAGCAACAAATGGGCATACTACTTTTTGTTATGTTGTTCCAAATTATTGTCTGTTAATAATGAAGGGCTTGGGGCGCCTGGGTGGCGCAGTCGGTTAAGCGTCCGGCTTCAGCCAGGTCACGATCTCGCGGTCCGTGAGTTCGAGCCCCGCGTCAGGCTCTGGGCTGATGGCTCAGAGCCTGGAGCCTGTTTCCGATTCTGTGTCTCCCTCTCTCTCTGCCCCTCCCCCGTTCATGCTCTGTCTCTCTCTGTCCCAAAAAAAATAAATAAAAAACGTTGGAAAAAAAAAAAAAATTTAAAATAATGAAGGGCTTAATGTAGTGGTCCTCAACTAGGAGTGACTTGACCCCCTAGGGAAAAATGTGTGGAGACATTTTTAGTTGTCGCATCTATTGGGTAGAGGTCAGGGATGCTATTAAACATCATACAAGGTATAAGACAGTCTTCCCTCGAACCCCAAATGTCAGTGGTGCCAAAATTGAGAAACTGGTTTAAAAGTAAGAGTTCTAAACTTTGAACCATAGAAAATAAAGAACTGAAAATGAGATTCTGACCTTAGTCTATCCCCCATCTCCAAAAGTTTTGAAGCAAAAGTATAGTTGCTTTTAGAATTCTTAACACAAACCATGTATTGTACTTAGATATGGTGCCTTTTACTGATGTAGAAAGCCAGAACAAGATAGGCCCCCTCTGTAGCAGACCTTTTCTGTTTTATTCTTACATCTTTTGGGTTGGGTCTTTGTAGGTCTTTAATTTGGAGACGCTGGCTAGATGACGAGAACTGATCCAGAGGTTTTTAAGCATAATATCATGAGTTCTTGCATTCTCCTCCATATTTGAGAGAGTGTGAGTTTTGCCACCCCTAGGAAACTTTGAATTTTGCCACCCCTGGGAAACTACCTTGATGTGGTTCAGAATTAGTTTTTAGTTAAGTATTGGTACATGTGCATGTTAAGTTTTAACAAGGTAAATTAAAATGGGATAGTGTCTAAGACTTGCCTTAGAGATAAAACCGACACAAGTACACAAACTAGAAGATAATAAAGTGCATTAGAATTCCAGAAATAGTTGCACACACAAAAGTCTTCTAAGACTGCAGGGAAATGAGGAACTTGAACAATATTTTAAAGCAAAGGAAAGAAGACATTCTGGGCTTTAAAGGGAGGTGGGCAGGTAAAATGAGTAAAGTTGGTTGAGTGTGTTTATTGGAGAGAGAGAGGGAGTGAGGGAAAGAATAATGCCTGAATGTCTTAATGAAAACAGATGCCTGTTTCCCAAAGAGAAGATAAAAAGGTCATTGGCTAACTTGAATGTATAAACTTGTAGTGATGGTAGCATACGATGAAAGAGTCACATGTCTCTTTATAATATTTAACCAAAATATGTACATATGTGTAGAATTGTGTATTTTGTTTGAAAAACATTGCTTTTTCTACTTACAGTTTATAAAGTGATTTTAAGTAAACCTTGTCCCTAAAGCCACATTTTGAGGAAATAAATCATTAGACATTGGGGTTGGGAAAGAAGCTCACAAAGAAAGCGAGGCTAGAGAAGTTTTCACTTGATGTAGGACCAAAATAGGAATATGTTATATTTATGTATGTGGATTTTTTGTTGATGAGGTAAAGTTGTCATTTGTCGGTTAAGATTTCTCTAAAAACTGGAAGCACGTTATATGGTGTAACTCAGAAATTAAGACTGAGAAAGAGTTGAGACCTTCCAAAACACTAATTTGATAGTCACAGTCATGAAAGACATTATCTTGAAATCTCTTTTCTGGTGGAAAGATGTATAAGACATACCTATGATTTAAATTGTTAGTGAAAATTAAACAATATTGAAGAAATGTTTCAGCATCTTTATTGCTTTCAATAAATGTATTTTTGAAAAGTTGCGCTGTTCCAAAAGAGATTGCCTTTTTAGGGTAATTCTGCAGTAAAGTCTGTGCTAAATGAAAATTATCTCTTACTTAATATGCTTAAATATGGGGTATCTTATTGTGGCTTTGCCTTTTATATTATATTTTCATAGTCTTTATCTTTCAAACCTCCTCAATTTCTAAATGGCATTTTTATAAGTGACCTAGAAAAACTATTTTTTTGTAACATTTAAAATGTAAAGTCCTGATTTTTAAAACTGTGTTCATCTTAAGGAAGAAGAGGTTTCCCCCCAATTGTTTACTTTCCACGAAGCCGTCTCACAAATGGTAGAAATGGAAGAACAAGTTGTAGAAGATCACAGGGCAGTGTTCCAGGTAAAGTTAAGACAGGACCTTACATCAAAATGTTTCTGTAGGGAAATTAACTAAAAACTTTCATAATACTTCGAATATCACACCAATCTAAAAATATACTTATTGTGTGTATGTGTATTTGTGGGATATATGACAGGATATTTTGAACAGAATGATGGATGGTTACAATGTTTATTTTGCACTATGGTGAAAGAATCTGGTTTATTTACTACTGTTCTGTTTTATTTGCTTTCTTTAGTTGTCCATTTTTAGAGAAGGGTTGAACTTCTCCCCTCCACTATCCTTTTCTCTCTTGTTAGGTCAGTTTATTTGACAGCAGTAAGAAAAACTTCTAAGGGTTATCAGAGTAGTTGAGGAAATACCTTTCTTTGATTGCTTTAGGAGAGGTAGGGTTACTGTCAGTGGCAGATGAGTAAGGGGTGTTAAATCCTTGCCTGTCACAGCAACTCCTGACGTATTCATCCCATTGTGTTCAGCCAGTTAAAAGCACGTTTACTTGATGATTTCCCTCTTGATCCCCCTATTGCCTTTTTTAACAAGAAAATATCCTAGAGGGTGATACTTACAAGGAAGCGTAGATAAAGTTTGGATATCATTATGGAAACTATAAATATGTTCTGAGAAAAAAGTGACCAATAGCTCAGTCTTTCTTTTGACCTGTGTTCTTTCTCTGATGTTGAAGAGATATTAACATGACTCAGCTGTAGACCATTTGAGCACCTGGATGAAAGGCTTAAAATATAAGTGAACTATTAATTTTATAAATTGAGAATAGGATGTACATGCATTGAAACTGTTACAGTTTTAGTCAAACTCTTACTATGAGAATCTATTTAAAGGCCTAGATGTTTAGATTAAATCAAGAAAGGACACTTGTAATTTAAGAAATTTGTAGGAGCAAGGTGTCTGTCAAAAAAAAAGACCATCGTTTCCCACTCTGCCATTTTATGGTGAAGTCTAAAAAGTTCTTTGCTCTTTGGCAGAACTGGATGTTTTCAGTTTCAGTCCAGTATTCTTTTTACAATTCCATTTATTGTTCCTCCATACTGTGATCTGCCATTTCTTAAAATAGGGTTTTATTTTTAAAAAGTAAGTAGATAGCTAAGAAAAAAGAAAAAATTGTGGGGGGTGTGTGTATATATATTTTAACTGATACATGTACAGTTTTCTAATAGATACCTACATTAGCTAATTCTTATGATACACAGTCCAGTTATAATTAGCCATTAAATTGCATTGGAAGCTAGAAAGTGCCCATTTTTATATCCCAAAACTCTTTAATTCAGAATGATCTGAACTTGTTAATAATCAGTATGATTCATTACATTGCTAGGAAATGAAACTCCTAAATTCCACGTTATCTAAAATCACTTAAGAATGAAGGGTTTCTTTAAAGCATGTGTGAATAGTAAGTAGCTACTATTTAGTGGTTTCTTTCACTCTTCTAAAATTGGCTGTCCCTTATAGTTAAAATAATTTTGAAGAGCTGGTGTTTAACCACTGTGAGGCCACAAATGGGGATGTAAATGCTAGATGATTTACAAGTTCTAGGCTACCATAGACCTCATTTGATTGCTCAGTAGCTTTGTTATACCCATTTCCCCCCAACTTTAGGGATAGCTACTAAAATTTTGAGAATTCATGTGCTCACTGATACTTACGTGTTTGATTCACACCCTTACCCAGGGCACAGTAAAAGAAAAATGAAGTTCTCTTGCTTGGCTTATCATATTTGTGTTTGTGTTTGAATTTAAGGAAATATTTCTTAATTTTATTCTGTAAAGAAAGATGTTTTATACTTACTAAATTCTCTAGTTTTAGAGAATCCCATCTTCAGTATGTTTGATGATATTTAGCATATGCCAACGTTTTTAATTGGTCTTTGTCTTACAGAGAGGCTTATTGGATTGTTGAATTTTTGTCCTTTTAGGAATCTATTCGATGGTTAGAAGATGAAAAGGCTCTCCTAGAGATGACTGAAGAAGTAGATTATGATGTAGATTCATATGCTACTCAACTTGAAGCTATTCTTGAGCAAAAAATAGACATTTTAACTGAGCTGCGGGGTAATTCCTTTTTCATTTTAGTGTTTTACGTCTACTTAATATTTGAATATAATTAGTAGAGGGTTTCATATTGCAAGAGGACATCTGAAATAAAAATTATGGGCACCATTAATACATTTCCAGAGGTATTTAAAGACAAACCAGTCATTCTGTTTTTTTTTCTAAAAACATGGACTATCATTTCAAGTGTTCTTTAGTTCTCTTTTCTCTTTAGGCATTTGTAAAGATAAAAGCATATTATGATTAAAGAGGGAAATGTATTTTAACAAATTTGTAAATTTTATACACTCATTCAGATTTTTAGTTTGATCGGCCAGTGCTTTTCAGAATGCTTTTGCTTAGATTATGTCTTTTCAGGGCCATCTCTTCTCCAGCCTCCTATCTGCGTTCATCTCTTTTCTGTGCATCCGTGTCATGTTTTTCCTTTGAACACTTGTTTTAAAACACCAGGGGGAAGGTTTCAAGACCTTGAGCAACTCAAGACCTTTCAGCAACTATTCTTTCTGCTTTGCTAATGAGGGAAGCATGTGACTTACCCACATGCCTTGTCTTCTTGGCTTTTTATAATTAGGTTATCTGTAGCTTCAGAAATGGATTTATCATATGTGCTTATTTCTTAGGCATTGGCAAATTAGTTGTCTCCATTTATATGCGAATGGACATCTGTGCATGCGTGTGTGAAATGCAGAGTGAGACCCAATTGAAATAGCTAGTTTTTAGCACCAAACTGGCTAAGTTTTTAAAGTAGGGTCTTTGTGAAGTTGGTTATTTACATAATCTATAAAGAGTCAGCAGTGACCATTTACCCAATTCAGAATTGTAAAAATGTAGGATTTCTAAATTTTATTTTTGTTTTTCATGTTCTTCATACTCAAGCTTTGATTTAAAGTGTTTTGATCATTTTTCTAATCTGTCAGAACTCACAAGCAGCTTATCTGTTCAGAACAGATCATAATTCTAATTTTTTTCTCTGTAATATGTGGTATTCAATTCAGTTGACTTCCTTAATTTTCTCAGTATTTATGTATATCAAGCATATCCATAACTTTGAAGAAATTACTGTCTAGCTATTGTATTATTCAGTCCTTTCTTAGAAAAAAAATTCTTTTGCCCTTCAGAGATAATTTTGGTATATAAGAAATATGAGAGCTTTTATCTTTGTCTTAGCGGGTATGAGATCCAGAAGTCCTTAAATTCCTTTCTAAATTTCAGAAGAGTTAATTTTTTAAATACCCCTGTACTTCTGAAGGGGGGAAAGAAATTGAGATTCCACCTTGAATCTTTTCTTCTAAAGATCATCACCTTTGTGCTGTTAGTGCATTTTAAGTTGGGTAATTTTTCAGGGTGCTATCATCTGCATTGTACAGTGCTTACCAGTGTCTTTGGTCTCTGTTGACAAGAGGACTGTGGTCACTACCCCAGTTGAAACAAACAGAAATGTCTAGATATTATCAGATGGGGGAGGGGGGTTGGTGGGAAACATCACCTGCAGTTAAAGAAAGGAGATGAGATATTTCTCATCTTCACAGCTGTTATTTGCCTGTCAGTTTACCTATTTCCTATTCTTATGTGACTCTGAGTTGATACATAAGAGTAAAACAGAATTGTAAGACCAAAAAATGTATTGTGCTATAATCCCCCGCCCCTGTCTCCCTTTCCAGTACAAAATAACATTTCTTTTTAAAAATTCAAACAGCTTTTGAAATTTCATAGCTTAATTGAGTAAAGTAGGCATTGGGTATAGAAGCTTCTTAATATATTGAGGAAAGAAATGTCTATAGTTTAATAAGACTGAAGGGTGCCTGGCTGGCACAGTCAGTAGAGCATGTGACTCTTGATCTTGGGGTTGTGACTTTGAGTCCCACGTTGGGGCTTCAGTACAGAGTACTGAAAAACAAAAAGACTCAGTGTTCTTTTAGACATGACTATACACATTTAACACACACATATCTAGCCTGTCTACACTCCAAAAGGAATTCAGATAAACTAAAATTGAACACTGTAAAATGTACCAAGCAGATCAAAAAAGGTCAAGGTATAGAAAAAAACATAATTTCATGAATCTGTGGATAATGAAACTGTTGCTATAGTTGACTATTGTATTTAGTTCTGAGTTTCTGGACAGCAAAGAACAAAAGGAAAGATCGTTAGTTAATGTTATGAAGTAAGACAGCTGACCCATGAAATTATATACTGTATTGCATGCGATGCAGTACTTACTCTCTTGTTCTTTTCTTTTTTCCAAGATAAAGTGAAATCTTTTCGTGCAGCTCTACAAGAAGAAGAACAGGCCAGCAAGCAAATCAACCCGAAGAGACCCCGTGCCCTTTAAATCAGCATTTGCTGCTAGAGGATCCCCAGAACCCACATTACTGTAACATACAGTGGTTCAGCTGTTAAGGGCCATTTGAAAGTTTGAAATTTTAAGTGTCTGTGGAAAATGTCTTGTCCCTTCACCTGAATGACATTTCAATTTTGTGAAACACTCCTTTGTCTACAAAATGCTTCTAGTCCACGAGGCACAACCAAGATTGGGAATAGTGAAGCATTTTGTTTCATTTACCCAAACAGTGATTTACTTTTGGAGATCCTTGCCAATTTTATTTTCTGTATGATGAAGTGAGATTGTGGACTTGATCCAGAGGTGAATAGTAGGGGGAAGCCACAGCATTTCCTTTAAATCGGTTGAATTTTCGTAGCAAGACTGAGCAGTTTTAAATCCTTTGAGTGCATGCATACCTCATCAGTGATTGTACATACCTTGCCCACTCCTAGAGACAGCTGTGCTCACCTCTTCCTGCTTTGTGCCTTGACTAAGGCTTTTGACCCTCAATTTCTGAAGCACAGCCAAGATAAATTACATTCCTTAATTGTCATTGTAAATTACCTTTATTGTGTGTACATTTTTACTGTATTTGAGACATTTTTTGTGTGTGACTAGTTAATTTTGCAGGATGTGCCATATCATTGAATGGAACTAAAGTCTGTGACAGTGGACATAGCTGCTGGACCATTCCATCTTATATGTAAAGAAATCTGGAATTATGATTTTACAACCATATAATGTGGTTATAATTTTCTTAGCATTTTCTTTGTAAAGAACTAAAATATAAACTAGTTGGTGTATAATAAAAAGTAATGAAATTCTGAGAAGAGTTTTATCTTAGGATAATACATATATATATATGCAGTGTGTGTTCCAGTGTGGTATTAACAGGACTAATAGTGCAATTTGATCCTTACCAATACCATTACTTAAGTTAAAGTGTCCATTAGCACCCCAAAATGTACCTTTTAAATGTACTGGTAAAGGAAATTGGCTTCTGATGCATGAATATTTACATGTACACTGAAAGTAGTCCATAATAGAACTGTTAGTTTAAGCCAAGTGTAGACAGTACATCACTCCCTTGAAAAAGAATTAAGCTAAAAAAAGAGTTGACTTTGCCTTAAAAGGCAGATCGATCTAACCCAAGCCCCATCCGTTACCTACTATGTGATATTTCATTATTATTTGGTGAGAATCACCAAATCCTCACCAATAAATTGGTCTAGGGTATGCTGCTTTTTAAATGGTGGCACTATTTTTACAGATTGCTACTCCAAGGAAGAAAACTGGCCACTTTTCATGTAAATATTTTGTTAAAAGATTTATATATCTCTCTAGGAGTTTTCCCTTAGTTCCTAGGATAGAGTCCAGGAGTAGATTAACAACAAAAAGTCTCCCAAGGATGTCTTGTTTTGATTTACTCTAAGGAACTAATGCTCATTCATTTGGGCCAAAGGGAAGCTATGAATAGAGAGTCACATGAGCCAGATTCCCTACTTCATTGTTCATAGAAACCAGAGAGTAGTTGTGGGAAATCCTACACCATGGTGAAATGCTCCTCTGTAAACTTGAAATCTAGAACAAATGTAGATTTTCACAATGTGCTTATTAATAAATGATATCTATGGAATGAGTTTTAGAGATAATTTACTTCAGAACAATCACCTTTGTTTTGGAAGGGACTCAGGTTTTCTTGCAGTTGTAAGATAACGTTCTATTTGTGTTTATTTCAAAGAGAAGAGAAAGAATGGAGCAGTTACTGTGGACTTTGCAGCAGCTGCTTAAAAAGGTAGTTTTTGAGGCTAACCAACCTTCAGAGGACAATGGAGATGTGAACTTGCTCATTTTAAAGCACAGCAGATTCATCTTAATTTATTAAGTAAGATGGGTACTATCTCTGGAAGGTCTCCTTATGTTCAAATATGTTGCCTTATACTATAATGGCTTCATTCTGATAAGTGATCAAGGTCTATAGAAAATTGATACCAGAAAAGATGTTGGTGGTTATAATCCAATCCTTCAGTTTTACAGATAGGGAAAACTGAAGGTCAGAAAAGGGACTAAAAGTCAGTTCATGAGGGAAGAGGGAATAAGAGGGAAAGCTGAATTAATTCTTAAAATTTTCCTATAGAGATGGTACAAATGAATTTTGCAAAGTAAGTAGTTTTGTGATAATAAAAAAAGCCTGCTCTTGAGGTATATTTAATATTTATGTAACAAAAGTGGCTTGATGCAGTATTATTTAAAGAAAATTTTTTTGGATCTGGATTAAACATTCTTGACTTTCTCAGACTTCTTGAAAGCTGATATTCCTATTAAAAAGTATTTATATAGGAATGTTTTACTATATCACTCTGAATCCAGATTTCCAAAAAAATCTGTTGAGGCAAACAACTTCCCTTCTAGGTTTACTCAGTGTACCTTTGTTAAAATAATTTGGAAGCAATCTTTCTATTAAGTTAGGTTTTTAAAAAGCCAATTATTAAGATATTTTTGTTAATTTCCTCATATAAATTATCAGCTACTGTAATTATTACAGGACATTAATAATGATTTAAACATAGTTGCTAATTAAGACTTGTTTATGGTATTTATTAAAATTCTCAACCTGACATTTTAAAACTTAAAAACATTTAAAAAATAGCCTAGAACAGTATGTGAAAAGGTACTGGAACTTTTAATTTTCCATAAGTCATGTGAATACTGGGAGCCTCTAGTTCTGGGAAAATGGCTGGTTAAGATTTTTTTTGTTTTAAGTAAGTTGAAGGGCGGAATTTTAACCTCATAGCCAGTTTTGATTTACAAAACCCTTTAGAATTTCGTTAAACCAGTGGCTTTCCCCAAGAAAAAAACCATACTATCTTATAGTTGATTTCATCCTAGTTGAGCGTCCTGTTATCACAGTTGACGAAATCATGCCTAGGAGTAATGTGCCCGGCACCACCACACGGTGGCAGTAGCAGACTCATGCTTATCCAGAACTGTGAAGTAGCTTATGATGCTACAGGACAGCTTAAAGGTGTGGGCAGAGATAGAAGGTGTATAAGATGAACAGAAAAAATGAGAGAAGCAAAATAAGAAACAAGTGTTTTATTGTGCACATGAATAAAAAGAAACCGTACGGGGAATATGTAACTTGAGTTAAGCATATTTTAACTGTCTGACTGTTTGAGGGACAAAGGCCTACAGAGGCCCTCATGGTAATATATAACATAGAAAATAGAAGAGTAACATCTTTATACAATAAACTGTTAGAAATAAGTTTAAGTGTAAAGTTGTGCGTGCCTGCGGCTCTGAAAGATTACCGTGTAGAGACTGGACCCTGCCCTATGTTAAATATTAAAAACACCAAAACCAAAAAAAAAAAAAAAAAACCAAAAAAAAACTTGGGTACTTAGAATTGACTTACTACCATAAAACTTCAGAGTAATAAATGGTGACAGTGGTAGTATTAAATCAAAACTAGTCAAGCACATAGTGTTCCAGTGGAGCAAAAGCATAGTTTATCTTCTCTGTTAGAAATGTATGATTGCGGTTTCTTTTTCTTGGGCTTGAAAATTCTCTTTTCCAGATACCTAAGAAAAATGTATACCTTCTGCGTTGAATCCATGTAGCAATCTGAAAAAAGAAACCAAAATGAGATGGTATTGAAAAGATAATTTATAACCTATAACAATGCATAGTTCCTGTACCATGAATCTAAAACAAACACATCAAACCTCTGAAACCCACCCACTCCTAACACCAGTCATTAAAGAAACTTTATTCTTCAATTAAATTTCTAAGATACATATTGGTTAAAAATCACATCATTTTGGTGCCTCTTTTGTCATAGCCTGTATGTCTTAAGTCATGGTGAATTTGACCAAATTATCTTAGACCTCCACTATCCAGGCATAAGAGCTCATTGGCACTTGTGAAGCTATTTGGAACTGGAGACTGAAGAGAGATGAATGGCTAATCATCCATGTCCATTTTTCCTCCCTGGGCTCACTATTACTAAGGTTCAAATTAAGTACTGACACATTGCTTTTCTCTGGATACCAATGTATTTATTGGATCCTAGTTAGCAAACTGCATATGCTTAATAACCTTGAAGAAATCTGGTGAGACTGAAAGAAAATAAGATGAAATATTTCTTTAGACCTGAGATTATTTTCAGGATGGTGACAGTTCAAGATGGATTCGAATGTCTGAAAATGGAAGATCGGTTCTTATGAATAATTTCAACTCCTATGACTAACCCCTGATAAAGACTCAGTAGTTCTGCTATCCTGTCGATGTAAAATATAAACCCCATTTGTCTTAGTTATATAGAACTGTTTCCAGCTCAGAAAAGTCAAACCAATTCCTTTGGTAACAATCTATCCTCATTTTTTATTCAGCTCCTAGAACATGGAAATTTTAAATATGAATCGGCTAAAATAGGCAAAAACTGTGCAGTGATATCACTGCACAGTTTATTAGTTAGGAAATCAGTTTTAGTGATTGAAAACTGTGAGTATAGGTTAATAACTACCTGGGTAACTGAAGCCTTATTTTGCTTTCATACCACTTACTTGTTTAAGGAAAACAAAGTTTGGTCTGCATTGCCCAGATAGTTATGACACCCTTCTTTTATTTTAGGTGTGTAGAACTTGCCTCCGTCTACAAAACAAGTAACTATTTTATTAAACCGGTTGGTTAGAAATGAAAACCAGGTATGATTGTAAACTGGCATTATTTCATGTGTAGGATCTGTTTTAACAATAGCTATTCCCATCAGAGAAAAAGAATGAGATGCAACTATATCCATTATGCTTCTTCTACCTTCCAGGCTACTATGAAGACACACATTAAGATGAACTATGAATGGGAGTTGGGGGAAGAGGCTGAAGGGGAGGAGCACACACACCACAACACACATTGACACAGAGGCTATCTCCAGGCTCGGACTGTTCTTTATTACTGTTCTTAAAATGTTCATTCTGCTGCAACTAACTAGCCTCCATCTTCTACACCAAATACTATTCCATGCCATGGAAGTGCTATGCAATAACTCCAGGTAGCACCTTATACCGCTTAAAAGCCTTTAAATATCTAATCTGAGGGTGTCACAGTAAAGAAATGTAAACACCTTAGGAAAAAAGAAAAATGTAATTACCTGATAAAGTCATCTATGTCCATGGAACGGGCCCGCTTGTCACTAAAACCTGTGCTGGTTAGGATTTGCTGTATTTTATCTGCTATGCTGAAATCTTCTGGTATTATCTATCAATATAAGATTCAGAATAAATGAACAACATATCTTTAATGAAGTCACGTTGACTCTTTTTTGTTTGTTTAGCTCAGTAACTGATAAAATAGTCACCTTTATCTGCTTACGACAGTTTGAAAAGCCTATTTGTACAGTTAATAAGACTCGGACCACCAGTTATGCGGTGGTTCTTCAGTGCATACCAGATACTCAGAAAACTGGATGAGTTACTCATGTATACTCCCCCTTTTCTTAAAAATTCTGGATGGTCAGTTTCAGGATTAAGGTACTTTATGTCACAAAATAAAGCTACAAACTAAATTTTAAAGCAGGTGTTACTCCTTTAAAAATAATCTCACATTTTCTTGGCACAAATTTAATTTTACCAGCCAAATTTTCTCAAAGAAATAACCTCCAACCTTTGAGAATATTAAATATTTCATACCACATTTTTTTCTCCAAATATTTTTCTTAATCCAGTTTAATGATGTTTTATGACTTTGTCCATAAGAAGAGAAACTGAAGGTAGCAATATATTAAGCTATGTAAGATCTGAGTCCAAAAATACAATGGAAATTTGCTTTTATCTTTCTGCTGTTTAATTAACTTGAATTAAAAAATTATCAGACATCACATAATTACTATATAGTTATGTGTAGGTGGGCTTACCCACATACAACATTGGTTAAAGAAAATGTTGCACAGATAATGATAAAGAGGCTCATAACCAAAAATCTATTAAGCCTATACTTTATTCTAATTATGCCAATTTCTGGATTAAAAAAAAAAGTTACAGAATGGTAACTTTAAATCTGGAATTGCTACGTGAGCAACAAACAAGGAATGATCACAATTCAGAGTATAGCGAATGGTACATAATTTGAGCCGAACAAACTACACATGCCTAAAGCTTTAAGAAAATTACGAGTCAACTGAATCTCTTTTCATGTCTAAGAACAACTGTACAGTTAAGCTTAGTGGTGTAATCCAGGCTGCTCAGCTCTGGTCCAAGAATATACCGCAATACTGACATATTAGGGTTCAATATTAAGGTTGTGTTAGTTAAATATCACTTTTAAGGATCACATGGAATGTGCAAAATTAGTAAGCTAGCGATGAAAAGGAGTAAGAAGTAGAGGGGCATTTTGAAACACACCAAATCGAAACCAAAGAGACCACAGAAACTTTTTTTGCTTACAATATTATGGACCGAACAGTGAATTCTGTAGTTTTTTTCCAAAAGCTGTTGCACTGCACTTGACCTATAATATAAAGGAAGTGATACCACTATTACTCCAAAATCAGAGATTATAAATAATTTCCTTTCAGTTTATTATAAATTTAAATCTATGTTCCACATGGTAAAATTAAGGGACTAAAAAAGGTGTTAATATTTAAACTTGTGAAACAACCACAAAGTGGTTATATTTAAAAGGTAAAGTTTCCCAAGTAGGTCCCGTGCTGTCAGTGGCAGCCCGATGCTGAGCTAGATCTCACGAACCATGAGGTCACGACCAGAGCTGCAATCAGGAGTTGGATGGCTAACTGAGCCACCCAGGCGCCCCTTTTTGAAATTCTTAAAGGAGTTCTAGACTCTCCACAAAACATCACCTCAAAAAGAAAAAAAAAGTGAAATTACAGCTTTCAGAACCTCTTTTTTTCCCTTAGGCCTCAAATTGCTCTTACAAAATTTTTTCCAAGTTAATAAAATTGCACCAATTTTTCATAGGTGTGGAAAGGACCCACTACCCAATTTTCCAAGGAAAAACGAGACAGATGTGTGGTCAGTTTTTGGGTTTTTTTTTTTTCCGTTTTGCCAAAAAACCTGATCTAATTCCAAATTCCTAGGAATGTTCTTTGTTAAATTTTCCTGCCTTCCAGAGTACCAAGTTAGTGTAAAAGGTAAAGTATATCTGGACACGGATAATCTTTACACTTTAGGATATCTGTTCAGGTATCTGTTACCAAATTCTAATACTTAGCAGTTTCTACAGCAATAGTCCTTCATATATCATAAATGAGAAAAATTCTCACTTAAATGCCGCAGACAGTGTCTTGTTCTTCCTAACAAAGGTGATCCTTACTAGGCCATCCCATTCCTGAAACAGAAAATGGATCATTTGTTATAAAATATCAAACCTTGCCTATGTCTTCTAGGTATTGTCTTTTAATATATAAAACTGAAAAGAACCTTCTGGAGTTCTGTATTTTGATCTAGCTGACGTGTAAAAAAGTAAGATATGTACTTGATTTTTGCACTTTTGTGCACTTCACTGAATATTTTATCCTCAATTTTAAAAATCAAAAAAAAATTATTCCACATCTGAATAAAGAATGTGACATTTATTAAAATCAAAGTACCATTTTCAAAAAACATGATTCCAAATAGGATTTAGAATATAGCCTATGCAACATCCCTAAATGACCCAGAAGAGGTAACTAACCAGTCCATTTACCACTGGTTACTGACCACACAAGAAATCATGTTTTTATCCAAGCCGACTGCAGTATGGTTTTACATCCAGTGATCTAACTACTTAATTGCAGAAACATGAATTTTGATTAAAAACTGCTACCCAGAAGATTACTCAAATCCAACTATTTTTATTTTATCTTGTTTTCTATCTTGTTTATTCAAATTTTTATTTGAATAAGTCAAATAGATACAGGTTTTCCATAGTTATACTCTTTAGTATGCAATTATGCACTGGCATTCTATTTTTTTTTTTTTTTTGAAAGACAGAGAACATGTAGGAGAGGGGCAGCAGAGAGACAGGGAGAGAGAATCCCAAGCAGGCTCCAAGTTGTCAATGCAGAGCCTAGCATGGGGCTCAATCCCATGAACCATGAGACCATGACCTGATCCGAGATCAACAGCCAGGGGCTTAACTGAGCCACCAGGCAGGCACCCCTGCAATAGCATTCTAATCTGCACTTTTTGCAAACATTTTCTATGCTTTTTTGTGCTTTTCACAATGATCTTACATCCAATTATTCCATCTACTCAATTACACAGATGTCATAATTAGCATTTTCCTGCTTGGACATTTAGGTTGACTCAATATTTTCTGCTGCTAGAGACGCACATCTCCCAGCTTGGTCTTTTTTCCGACTTTATTGAATGACCTAGTATTTTAATCTCACCTGAAAATTGATAGGTGGTGGTGGATTCTTGGGTTCTATTCTTACGACACTGGATTCCACCTTTGGTGGTGGCCTGAAATTGTTCTTTCCAACCTATTAATCAGAAAATAAGGAATCCTCTCAAAAACTGCTTGTTTTTTTTGTTTTGTTTTGAGAGCGAGAGAGCGCATGTGCATGCACCCACAGGAGCAAGGAAGGGGGAGAGGGAGAGGGAGAGAGGCTTAAGCAGGCTCCACTCTCAGCACGGAGCTTGATCCAGAGCTCAATCTCATGACCCTGGGACCATGACCTGAGCCGAAATCAAGAGCCAGACACTCAACCAACTGAGGCAGCCAGGCACCTCCCTCCTTTTTTTTCAAATACAGTTTTAAATTAGTGATTAAATATGCTTTCCTCACAGAAGGCACAACTAGATGCTCAAGGATGAGGTAAGCCATATTATTTCACTAACAGTCACTTACTTTCATCAGATGGTCCACACGTGCTAACAGCTGTGTATTGATTGACAGTCTGCAGTATAATTTATCTCCAGGCTTTGCAACTAGTCGGAGAGCAAATTCTCTTTGAAACATAAGTACAGCACATCTGAAGAGACCAGGAAAATGGTCACTTTTAACTGTAAACGTATCTTAACTTCAATTAATTGTCTTAGGTGGGAAATAGCAGTGCAAGATCTGTGGTTAATGAGAATTCATTCAGCTGCTGAGAAGGCACAACAGTTTCAGATTTAGCTTTATTACCATAAAATGATCCATCTGGCTTTTCTTTTTATAATGGCTGCACCTCCAATCCTTGCGTATGTAAGCCCTCGGTGATCAGATGAGAAAGTATTTCAGATAAGCCCGAGTCCATTACCCTTGCTAAGAAAACAAAACCCAAACTAACAAAATTGGCTCAGGAGCCCAGTGGTATTTATAGGGTAGCAAACACCCTTATGGAAGGAGAGGCAGGAGAGACAGATTGTGACGTTGGCGTCCTCCGGATATGACAGGTAAGGAACGTGGACTTTTTATTCGGCAAGCAATGGGGAGGCTTTTCGGAGGCTCTTGAACTGGAGAAGAGCACCTTCAAAGCTGGGCTTTGACTTTCAAATTTTTTTGACAATGAATCAGACCAGGAAATACCTTTGACATTGCAGGCCACGCCACAACTATCTGTATTATATGTGTTTTTATTTAACTCAAGCAAAAGTTTCATAAAATTATAATCACCTGGGCCACATGCAATGCATGCTCTCTGATATACTCTATTCCATGTCATTAAAAAAATGACAGTCATGACTCAAGAAATTTAAACTACTAAAGGGTTTTTGACTTGGAATTTGAAAACCCCTGTTACATATCGTGCTAGAGACCAGTGAGGAGACCACTGCAATTGTCTAGACATAAGGTAATAAAAAGAGTCTGACCTGGACTAATGGAAAGAGTATTAGAAAACAGGGAAGGGCTGCCTGGTCTCAGAAGCGGAATTTATACCACACCTCCCCCAAATAACTATGTCAACTGAATAAAAAGGAAAGAAAGACCTCCATACAAATAGATACTTTCTACAGAACACATTCTTGATTCTCCAACAGTTTTCTAATTGAATTGACTTTCATCTTTGGCTGTGTTTCATCTTTGACCTAAGATATGGCAGTAATTTTGGTCTTTTGTCACAAACCTGAAAAAAGGTCGGTGCAGCAACAGCTTGAAGACAAAGGGGGAAGAGATCTGTAAGAGAGTTCACGAGTTACTTCTGAGAAAGACACACCGCAGAAGTATGTTTGTAGAATGTTCCCAACAATTTGGACACATACCTGATATGGCAAATTTGCCACACAGGCATCAAAGAATGGCAAATCTGTTTTCAACACATCACCCACCAGTACTTGAAGTTTGCTGGCCAGAGGCCTAATAATAAGGAAAAAAAGCAATTAAAAAAGATAGTGTTTCACAAGATTGAAATGCACTCTAATTCTAACTTGCATACTCACGTGCCCTGAACTCTTTTGTGAAGTTCAGCTACTAGTCTTGGGTCAAGTTCACAGGCAATTACCTATGTTAAAAAACAACACAACACAAAACAAAAAACGGTATCTGGGGGTAAATTATGGAGCGTAAATCTTGTTATCTCAGTCATAACTCTTACATGATTAAGAGGAATTAAATTTCTTTCCCCAATTCTACCATCAATATTCCTTCATTTATACTCTACTATTTCAAACAAAAAAAAACCCCACCATTGAGATAAGTAGACTCTACTCTGAGTGGCACCTGTTCAACGGCTCCCCTTCTTATGGGCTCTGGTAACACAGTTCCCTCCTTGTGCCCCTTGAGGCCTCTGGATAGTAACTCTCTGGCTGTTGCTGGCCTGTGGGTATTTCACTAATGTGTACTGGTTCCCTTAACCCCACTTTGAAATTTTGGATGCATTTAATTGGAAACTGAGACACAGAAGGTACCAGCAGCAGCCAGGCAGTATCTCAATCTCAGAGACTCATGCTTCAGCTCTTCAGATCTGCTTCTCTAGCACCCAATACTCCAGCCTCCTTGCTTTGTCCCCTGGAGCCTAGAGGCGGTACCTACTCTTCGTAATTATTAGTTTTGGGTTACTTCAGTGTTTCCATTTTATTCTTTTAGTCACCTAACAACTTTGTAACTAATTCCCTCTATCAAATACCCTGTATTGAAATATCTAACATGGGTTCTATTTTCCTGACTGATATATCCCATACTTTTTTTTGTAATCCATTTTTTTAAATTGAGATATAGTTGACATGTAACATTCTATTAGTTTCAGGTGTATAGCATAGCCTATATTTATATTGCACAATATGTACATATTTTGAAAAAGTCTAGTTAGCATCCATTACCACACACACAGTTAAAATTTTGTCTTGTAATGAGAACTTTTAAGATCTACTCTCTTTGGGGTACCTGGATGGTTCAGTCGATGTAGTGTCTGACTTCGGCTCAGGTCATGATCTCACTATTCATAGGTTTGAGCCCTGCATTGGACTTTGTGCTGACAGCTCAGAGCCTGGAGCCTGTTTTCGATTCTGTGTCTCCCTCTCTCTCCACCCCTCCCTCACTTGCGCTCTTGTCTCTCCCAAAAATGAATAAATGTTAAAGAAAACAATTAAGAAAAAAAAAAAGATCTACTCTCTTAGCGACTTTAAAATATACATACAACAAAAGGAGCGCCTGGGTGGCTTAGTTAAGTGTCTGACTCTTCATTTCAGATCGGGTCGGGATCTCATGGTTGGTGAGTTGGAGCTCTGTGCAGACAGTGCAGAGCTTGCTTGGGATTCATTCTCTCTCTCTCTCTCTCTCCCTCTCTCTGCCCCTCCCCTGTGCGCTCTCTTTCTCTCAAAATAAATAAATAAATAAATAAACAAACAAACATTATATATATAGGGGCAGCTGAGTGACTCAGTCGGTTGAGCATCCAAATTCAGCTCAGGTCATGATCTCACAGTTCATGATTTCAAGCCCTGCATTGGGCTTTGTGCTGACAGCTCAGGGCCTGAAGCCTGCTTCAGATTCTGTGCCTTCCTCTCTCTGTGCCCCTCCCCTGCTCACACTCAGTCTCTCTCTCTCAAAATTAAATATTAAAAACATTTATATATATATTATATATACATGTTATTAATTATAGTGACCTGCTGTACATTCCATTTCTAGGACTTACTCTTTTTATACCTGGAAGTTTGTATCTTTTGACCACTTTCACTCATCTTGCCTACATCCTGCATATGTGGTTTTTAATTAATTAATTAATTTTGAGAGAGACTGAGCAAGGTAGGGGCAGAGAGAGAGGGAAAGAGAGAATCCCATGTAGGCCCCACATTATCAGTGCAGAGCCCAATGTGCGATCCCACGAACCACAAGATCATGACCTCAGTGGATATCAAGAATTGGATGCTTAACTGACTGAACTACCCAGGTGCCCGTTGCCCATATTTTTAAAGATAAAGCTTTTAGCAAAGGATCAAGGGTTGCTGTTAAAATAACAGCAATTAATTAAAAATAGATCTCTATTTGTAAACCAGGTGAGCTTGCCGACATAATTTCTGATACCAAAACACAAAATTCCCTTTTTACCTTTTTTGCCTTTTCTAGCAACTTTACAGTCATATTGCCAGTTCCAGGTCCAACTTCCAGCACCACATCAGTTGGTCTTAAGGCAGCCTGCGAGCAAGCACGACCACGTTAGCTTTACTAGCACATATGAACACATCATTTAATTTATACCTATCTTTGCTTAAAAGCATATCGTTAAGAGATCTTATTCTGACTCCACTGTTATGAGTCCTTCATGATCTATGTGCTTAACAAAATTTTCTCTTTAACGTTAGGTGCAAGTGGAAATCTATCACCTGTTGTTGTTGTTTTTTAATGTTTATTCATTTTTGAGAGACAGAGAGCACAAGCAGGGGAGGAGCAGTGAGAGAGAGAGAGAGAGAGAGAGAGAGAGAGACAGAATCCAAAGCAGGCTCCAGGCTCTGTCAGCACAGAGCCCGATGCGGGGCTCGAACCCATGAACTGTGTGATCATGACCTGAGCTGAAGTTGGATGCTTAATTGAATGAGTCACCCAGGTGCCCCTCTATCACCTGTTTTAAGTTGGGGCAGTTAGGAGTCAGAAAACAGTTAGGAATCAGAAAAGCAGGAATAGCTATTCTTTCTGGGAATGGCTTTCTCTTTGCTATCTTAGAAATGATTCCAACAGCATCTTTTCACCAACTCTGTCACTATCAGCAAGTTCAAACAAGAAAGGACTATATATGAAGAGCTTGCCTGATAATTGTAGCATGTTGTACCAGCATTTCTCAATTTTCAACTCAGTATAGTTTCAGGGATAGGAATACTTAGAAACTGTACACAAACCTGGGTGTTTGTATGTACAAAGCTGCAGTGTCCTGGGTACACACCTTTCATCAGACGCTCAAAGGAAATCCGTGAGCCAAAAAGGTTAAAACATTAGGCCTTCGTTTTGCAAATGACACTAAGTCAAGATGAGATTCTCTAAATACATAATGCTCTCTCTACAGCTCTAGGATGCTTCCTTTGTAACCGTGAAAATATCCTGTACCACATAAATTTCATGTTCTAGTACCCAATCATCCAGAATAGTAAGACAACATCCATAACCCATACAGGAGGCACTGGATTGTACCATGTAAGGTTCTCTGGGGGAAAAAAACTTCCCAAGCTGTCATTAAAACATCTTTTTAGGCTCTGGAGTAAACAAAAATTGATAGACGGTGTCTAGAAAAAGTGATTAGGCATAGAGTAATAATACTGATGTGGAACTGAACAAGTCCAAATGTCTACCTATGAGGTAAAGAATCTACAGAAAGAATTTGGAGGCAGGAGAAACCTAGACCTACAGAACAAAGCAAATCATGCCAAAGACAGTCTGTGAATCCTAGACAGTTCTTCGATTCATTCCACAAGTATTTACAGAACAATTGTTTTGTGACAGATATCCTCTGTGCGTTTTAGTATTCCTAAGAACAAAATCAATAAGCCCACAACTCTCATTTTCCTCTTCCACACCCACCTTATCGATAACACTGTTAACAATGAGAGGATTTTTCAAAATATGTTGCCCAATCCCCGTGTTGAACATGAGTCCTGGAAGAAAACACGGAAGAGCCTTAATTTCCCGACGAAAAGTAGACATTAGACCGTCCTAGAGAAGAATGCAGGGTGGTTGGGGGAAGGTGTCTGCGCCAACCAGAGGCACCAAACGTCATGCTAGGAGCCTAGGTGACACCCTGTTCAAGTCCACCCCTTCTGCAGGAAAGGAAGCCAGAGGCTGCGCAAGGCCTGCGGCCGTCGATCCAAGAGCGCCGCGCCACCGGCCTCACAGTCCCGGCCCAGATCAGGGCCCGCGCCCCCGACTATGTCCGGCCCGGTGATCGGACCTGAGCATAGCCCCTTCCCGGCTGTCCCCACCTCCGGCGCTCTTCAGCTCTCGGCTCTGTTTAAGTCGATCGCGGCGGCGGCCGCTCGTCCCCGGCTTGATCTTTGGCATCACCACGGGCGCGGACCTACAGGCCTTGGAGATCAGAGAGGACCAAAGCCGGCTACCCCGCACTACACGTGGGAACTTGCCACCCCAGGAGTGCCTGCACCACTCCCCGCCACGTGGGGGATGGGGGAGGGCCCGGCCCCTGTTCACCCTGGGCCCCGCCCCCAGAAAGGGGAACGACCTTGAGCCCAGTGGTCGCCGGGAATTGTAGTCATGAGCAGGCGGAAATCCTAAACTCGAGAAACTACAGATCCCAGAAGACACCGCGCCGCAGATTCTGGCAGTTAGGATTGGCTAGTTTAGAATCGAAGCGGGTGTCTCGCCTAACTGCGCGGAGTTGCTCAAGTAAGTTTTGGGGTGGTGATCTCCCCGTTGTGGAGTAGGTTTAAATTACGCGAGGCCTTTAGGATTGTGGATGTTTCCCTCAAGCCAGGTCCTGGATCGCTGAAATCCAAAAAAGGTGTCTTTCCGTCATGCGCCTCCCTCCTGTTTCCCAGCAAATTCTGGGGTGGGAAACCTAAGATCTCGACATAAGGAGCTTGCTCTTGGGGCCAGCGAGTTCGCCTCTTGGGTTGTGGAGAGGAGCTCTGACAATGTTAACAACGTTGCTTTGCTTCCTTTTTGTGCCATTCATTAATTACCTAAATGTTTATCGGGCTCCAACTATTAAACTCTACTGGGTGCTGGAGATTCAAAGTTTATACAGGAAACCGCTCTTCTCAGTCTATTCTATTGGGAGCGAGAGGCAGAAAGTCCGAAACGCTGTAAATGTAGTAAGTATGGATTGAGTATTGTTGTAGTACAGTGTATCTGACTGTAGGCTCCATGCGTACAAGATCCACATCTGTTTGGCCACGTTTTTTATTTTTTTGTGTGTACTCTATTTTCTTGAAGAAACGGTTTGAATTACCAGCGCTGCCTCTTTCTTGCTAAATTAACACGTGTGCGTTCCCCAGCGTTGGCCTCTCTTTGCTGTTATTCTAATTCAGTAAAAAACTAATAACCTTAGTAGCATCTTCAACTACTTATGACATTTCACTAATGATTAATTTATTACACAATTCCGGAGAATCTACATTATTCCAGGTACTGCGTCAACTATTAGGAATAAAAAGCGACGTGATCTCTGCTTTTAGGGAACCTTCTGTCAAGAGAGGGAGACATGCAAGTTATTGCAATAATAACACCATTTGGTGTTCAATTACATGCCAGATGTTTTGGGTACATTATTTCATTTAATCTTTTCAAACAAGTCTCTGAAATAGGTCTTATCATTATATCCATTTTACAGATGAGGACGCTGAAGGATAAAAATGTTTAATATCTTGGGGCACCTGGGTGGCCTGGCGATTAAGTGCCTGACTCTTGATTTCGGTAGGCTCAGGTCATGATCTCAGGGTTAATGGGATACAGCCCTGAATCCAGCTCTGCCCTGATAGTGCAGAGCCTGCTGCGGATTCTCTCTCTCTGCTCCTCTCCAACTTGTTCTAACAAGCTAAAAAAAAAAAAAAAAAAAAAAAAAAAAAAAAAAAAAAAAAAGCTTACCTTTAAAAAAATTAATACCTTGCTCAAGTTCACACAGTAAATGACAGATGCATCTGTATTCCAAAGATTGTGTATTTGTAAAAAAAAAAAAAAAAGGTATGATCATAGCACAGTGAGGAACGTTTTCAAAATAACAATATTTGAGTGGAGTCTTGAAAGACAAAAATTAGCAAGGGGAAATTTGGGAATTCAGAGGAAACCGTACTCACAAAGCGAAGATATAAACGAGTTTAAGGGAGAAAAAGAAACGTGGTATAGCTGAGGAATTAATAGGAAAGGTAAATAGGGGCTTACTGCAAATGGTCGAAAATGTTACGCCAAGGAGTATTGGTAGAATCAAAGTAACCATTTTGCATTTTCTCCTCCTCTCCAGGCTGTGAGAATTGTGGGACATCACACAGTAGCGTAGGTAGGAGATATTCATGGGCTCCACTTTTAGCTGGGTTTTGAACCCTGCCCAGCCAGTGCTTTTGAATTCCCTCTAATCCTCTCCCATTCTCCATAAAAGATCTTCAAACCTGAATTCTTCTCAGGCCCGCTTGCCTGCCACCTCCCCAGTTCCCTTTCGGCAGGAGGCCCTGCCTTTTACTTCACAGAAGAAATGCAAGATCACCTCAAGGACATGCTCATTTTCCTGGGTTACTGTTCTGCACTCTGGGGATACAGCCGTGAGCAAAACAAAGCAGAGCTTACCCTCTAGTGGGGGGAAAACAGACATTCTGAAGGTGGTGATGAACATGCGGGGAAAAAAGCAAGGCAGAGGAGCTAGATAAAGATCAACAGGGTGGGTGGGAGAGGTTATTTTATATAGCATGGTGTGGCGAGACTCCCATGATGGGGATAATTTGATCAGAGACCTTCGGGCACAGATCTGAAAGTGACTCACAGTACATCTGCTCACACCTGGCCGTTTCTGCTACAACTAACTGCAGGACAGTGAGTGAGGAAAGCTTGAAGGTAGGAGATACTGTGAAGGTAACTACAATGGTATGCTAGAAAGAAAGAGGGGTGCAGGTTTTGCTAGGAGAATTCATATGGATAGGCCAGGGAGAGCTTGAAATTTTGCAGTGGGGAGATAGCTCTACCAGTTGGAAAAAAAAAAGTGGTTTAGCATTAAACTCATGGGTGAGTCTGTGTCCTAGACGGAATCCCTCTTTTCAGAGTTTAGGATTCTGCAAAAAGGAAGTCCCCCATTTGCTTTTGCTAAAGAGTAAATAGGGTAGACCGTAAGGATGGAAAACCAAATGATAGCCAAATGCTATTTTTTTAGGCGTAAAATAGCAAGACACTCCTAGAAAAGGCTACATCTTTTAAGCCACAGAAAACAAAGGGATGGAGGTGACTGTGCACAGTTCCCTTGCCTAGAGTCTAAATTAGTGTTTGTCTAAACATGAATCTTCGACCACCTGCATCAGAAACACTAGGGCACATGTTATGGGCTGAATTGTATCCTCCCAAAATTCATATGTTAAAGCCCTAATCTCTCGTACCTCAGAATGTATCTATATTTGGAGATAGGACCTTCAAAGAGATGATCAAGCAGGAATGAGATCACTAAGTTGGGCCCTAATCCAACGACTGGTATCCTTTTAAAAGGAGGACGTTTGTATACACAGATACCAGGGTCATGTGTGCACAGAGAAAAGACCTTATGGGCACACGGAGAAGGTGGCTATCTATAAGCCAAGGAGAGAGGCCTTAGGAGAAACCAACCGTGCTGACACCTTGATCTTGGATTTCTGGCTTCCAGAACTGTGAAAAATACATTTTTGTTTTTGCAGGGAGGGAGAGAGTGCAAGGGAGGAGGAGGAGAGAGGGGGACAGAGGATCTGAAGAAGTGGGTTCCACACTGATAGGCTGATGGTATCGCCCGATGTGGAGCTTGAACTCACACCACAAGATCATGACCTGAGTTGAAGTCAGACCCTCATCCGACTGAGCCACCCAGGTGCCCCTATAATTCTATTCTTTAAGCCCCCCAACTTTTCTAGTGGTATTTTCTTTTAAATTTTTTTTTAATGTTTATTTATTTTTGAGACAGAGAGAGACAGAGCATGAACAGGGGAGGGGCAGAGAGAGAGGGAGACACAGAATCCGAAGCAGGCTCTAGACTCTGAGCCAACAGCCCAGAGCCCGACGCGGGGCTTGAACTCCCGGACCGTGAGATTGTGACCTTAGCTGAAGTCGGATGCTCAACCGACTGAGCCACCCAGGTGCCCCTCTAGTGGTATTTTCTATGGCAGCCCAAGCAAACTAATATAATGAAAATTTACATTTCCAAGCCCCACCTTGAACATTCTGGATCAGAATAGGATTGGGCCCTGGCAAATGCATTTTTAACAAACCCTCCAGGAAAGTCTGATGTACACCAAAGGTAAGGATTTATTGCTTTCTGCAATAAAATAAAGTATGTTGAGGAAAATCTACAGAAATGAAAGAGAATGGGGAGGGCTACCATCATAAGCACAGGGGTCCCCTTATTACATAATTACATAAATAAAATGGCCATATGACATCATCTTTTTTTTTTCTGTTAGTTTCAAGATGGCATTCAGAAGTGAGACAAAATGGGATGCACCATGGATCCATGAATCCTAGAAAGTTGTGTGACACTGGGTTATGAGCTGCATTAAAGAAATGAGAATTGGAAATTGATGCTGGAATGTATTTGAGTTATCTTTGCAGCCATGAATGGCTTTGAATTATATAATCTTATGCTTTTCTGGTTCATGTTTATCTCCATTGTTAATTAAAAATATTTATTTTTCAATTTGGAATTGCACAATGGATTCATTGCCATTTTTATTTTATTTTATTTTGTTTTTGATATAATGTGTCATAACTGGAAAAAGAATTATAATCGAGGCACCTGGGTGGCTCAATTAGTTGAGCGTCCAACCTCATCTCAGGTCATGATCTCGTGGTTTGTGAGTTCGAGCCCCACATCGGGCTCTGTGCTGACAGCTCAGCACAGATTCTGTGTCTCCCTCTCTCTCTGCCCCTCCCCTGCTTGTGCTGTGTCTCTCTCTGTCTCTCAAAAATAAATTTAAAAATGTTGAAAAAGAATTATAATCACAGTTGCTTTGGTAGAAGAGGCTTACTTAAATTTACCAGCATGCATGAAATGATAACATTTTAAATGTGCCAGGGAATACAATAAGGAATAACAATAAAATGTAAGCATTTCCCTGTGTAAAATATATTTCCTTATAGACTTTTAATGTATTGAAAAGTCATAAGAGCGCCTGGGTGGCTCAGTCAGTTAAGCAGCCTACTTTGATTCAGGTCATGATCTCGCAGTTCTTGAGTTTCAGACCCACTTTGGGCTCTGTGCAGACAGTTTGGAGCCTGGAGATTCTATCTCTTTCTTTCTGTGCTCCTCCCCCACTTGCAATCTGTCTTTCTCAAAAATAATATACATTAAAAAAAAAGTAAAGAGAAAAGTAAAAACATTAAGA